GTGTGTGTGTGTGTGTGTGTGTGTGTGTGTGTGTGTGTGGCTGCTTGTACTAGCCCAGACTGAAGCTGGTTTTATAGTGCTAGCCCACTGAGATACCATGCCGCAGTGAAGCATGAATACCCCTCTCAGACACATTGTACTGACTCCGAGCCGACCAGTCCTTGTTGTACCCATTAATGCCGAGCGCCAGGCAGGGCAAGTACCATATTTTAACGTCTTTTGGTATGACGCGGTCGGGGATCGAACCCGCGACCTTCCGCACTCCGGGCGGACGCTCTAACCACTACACCACGGAGGCGGTCTTTTAACCACTAGGCTACCCCACCGCCCATCTGAGCATTAAAGCGACTACATTGTGATTTTTGTCTTGTTTTGTTTTCTTTATATATATATATACATTCATATATATGTATTCATGGTAAAAAGCAACATGTACAAGATAGTGAAATACGTGAAAATCATATTGAAGACAAACTTAAATACATGAGATAACATATATCAAATACTTACGTAATACGGTAGTGCGGTAGGTAGGTAGGGTGGGGGGAGTGGGGTCGAAAGGGAGGGAGGGGACGCACAAACGCATGGACTGGCCGTTTCAGGCAGACAGACAGACAGTCTCCTTATCTATGGCAGTACCGGAACACGGTGGTGTAGTAGTTAGCATGCTGGCCTCTCACGCCAAAGGCCCAGGTTCGAATCTCGGTGGAGACACCAAAATTTGTGACCTGGATCTCATACTGTGTTGTGTCCCTGGGCAAGGCACTTCGTCCACATTGCACTCAGTCCACCCAGCTGTTCAAAATGGGTACCTGAGATGCAGATGTACGGACCTATATGGTCGCGCTTAGCGCTTAGTAGCAGCTTTGAAAGTACAATTCCGTCAGGGTAATAATATAACGCCAGAAAACAGCATCGCTTTTGATTCTAGGCTCAAAAATTAGCATTATTATTATTACCGTATATTTTTTATGAGAGGCTGTACTTACCGCGACCGATAAATGGCAGGGTGATCCTTACTTCAAAGTACAGTGTGATGTGAAGAATTTCAGGCGCAATTGGTAACGCCACGAGATGTCGTCAGATAATAGTTGTAACAGGTGCTTGATGCTTTGAGAACTAGATGTGGGGGCAACACGTGGTACAAGCCATAATAAACTGTATGAAGAAACTGGCTTCTACCTCTTGCTGAAAGAAGACGTGTTCGAAAGTTAAACATTTTTTTATTAAACAATACACAGTAAAACACCGAGCTACTTATGTAATATGCTTCCAGAATCTGTATTTGCGAATATTTCCTATGATTTGAGAAATTCAACAAACGTTCTTTCAAGAACAACCTCCTACAGTTGGAACAGAACTTTGGAACCTTTTACCAGATGATATTTAACAAATACAATCTTCTCAATCTTTCACAGATAAAATCTCTCACACTACCAGGTACTAAATTTGTATATGATATAAATTCGAATGTAGTGATCTGAACACGCACAAAGTTAATCGTTTTATATCTAATGACCCATCGTGTTCTTGTGGTGCTATTTGTGTAGATGATTTACATTATTGTTTTCTGTGTCCAAATTATGATAATTTATAGAAATGGATACAACTTCAAATCAGCCCTATATGGAAATATTGAGGCATTGTTAAATCTGCTCATTGTTTTATTGAAAAATCTTGTCGTTTTAAGATTTAAGGAATAATGTACCGAATGCAATATAATACAAAACTGAAACCTACTGTAAATGAATTTATTTCATTTGACCAAATTCAATGTCATTCTTTCTATGTGTTACTGTTGATATGTCAGATACATGTATAAAATCAGTGCTTTTGTATTGGATCGCCATTAAGATAAGCCTTTTGCTTGTTTGCCAATCCTGTTCATTATTCATATGAATAAAATTTGTTTAAACCAGATGTTGCTGGCGATATATAGCCCATTTTCACATTGTATTGTCCACACATAGTTTTCTACTTTTAAAGATATATGCTAGCTAGTTTTAACTCATTTTGTGATAATCTAGTAATTTTACTGTCCTTCGTTGACAGGGTTTTATATATTATATGTATGCATTATGAATTTAGAACTAGTTTTAGTCACGATATGGCTGAAACATTGCCAATGTGACTTTAAATTTTAACTCACTCACTCACTTAAACCAGATGTAACAAGTGCGCGTTGTTGGTTGGCTGGTATTAGAATTGGTCCACTACATGCTTTTCGTAAGAGGCGACTAACGGGATCGGGTGGTCAGGCTCTCTCTGACTTGTACCCCATCTGCGAAGATCAATGCTCATGATTTGATCACTGGATTGATCTGGTCCGGACTCGATTATTTACAGACCGCCACCATGAAGCCGGAATATTACTGAGAGCGGTCTTAAGCAACAAACAAACTACAGATTTAGTTGAGCAAACAGTGATCATATTTCTGGTGAAATGCAAGCGTCATCACTGAAGCAAGCTTTCTGTTCAACCAGAAACTATAGGATGTGAGTAAATTGGGTTCTTACATTACTTTAAGGCAGATGCGCCTTGCATAGATTGCTAATTTTGAAACTCATCAAGAATCGAGTATGAAAGTAATTACACACAGGTGTTGCCAAATGGCGGACAGGTAATCAGGAACAATAGATTATACTGTCACATGTTAAACATTTACACATGAATGAACATTCAAATCGTCATAACGTACAGAACGACTTTGGGGACTTACTCAAAGCATCAATATTAAAATTTAATAAATTTATTGAAATGAACGTATAATATAAAACATCAATGGCGGACAATAGCCAGGCTCGATTTCCCGATGAAACAGACAAAACAGCGGTGACAGTTATGTCATTGGATCACTGGATCACTGAAAATCTCTTATGAGTACTTGCTCTTGACGATCCGGGTTGGAATGTGAAATATGTTGATTTCTTTTCAGGGGCATTAAGATTTTTGCCCAAAGTCTCCTCTCTCTGGTGTAGTGGTTAGAGCGTCCGCCCGGAGAGCGGAAGGTCGCGGGTTCAATCCCCGGCCGCGTCATACCAAAAGACGTTAAAATATGGTACATGTTGGTCGCTCGGCATTAATGGGTACAACAAGGACTGGTCGGCTCGGAGTCAGTATAATGTGTCTGAGTGGGGTATTCATGCTTAACTGCGGCATGGTATCTCAGTGAGCTAGCACTATAAACCAGTTTAAGTCTAGTCTAGTACAAGCAGCCGCACATACACATACACACGCATGCACGTCGTCATATGAGCGAAATATTCTTAAGTACAACGTTAAAACTCCATTTCACCTCACCCCTTTACCAATATTTATCATACCCATGAAGATACCGGGTAAGAATTGATCTTCAGCAACCCATGCTTGACGTAAGAGGCGACTAACGGGATCGGGTGGTCAGGCTCGCTTGCTTGGTTACACGTGTCATCGTATCCCAGCTGCGTATATCGATACTCATAATTTGATCACAGGATTGCCTGGTCCAGACTCGATTGTTTACATACCGACGCCATTTTGCTGGAATATTGCCGTGTGTGACGTAAGACAAATAAACAAACGAAACGAATCTTATGACACCAGGTGTTTGCTGAAAGGGTCAGCATGTCCTGCACTACGGGTCGCCTAGCCACACACTCAGTTCTCCTGACATACATCGATTCCTTGTCTGGCGAACATCGCAAAATTTGAAATTACAAAACAAACTCAATTATATGTTCGAAGAAGAATATTGTATATTTTCGACAGAAAATGGCTTCAACGTAACAAAATAAAGAAGATTTACAAAACTTTACAATTTGTAAAGTTCATATTTACAAAAAATTACAAATCTCGTAAAAATGTTATTTACAAAGCTTGTACATGTTTGTAAATTTAGTATAGATTTTACCGCTACTTCTGTCAGTTTCTCCTGTTCCCATGTATCCAGTTTCAACGTCTCTCCAATTTCAAGCATCTTTTGTTCTGTTTGAGTTCACATTGTGCAAATACATAATGCTTCTTGCGTGACATATTTATACATTAAAACTGTAGGAACAAGCCGTATTTTAAAACTATCCATTTATGCTTTATGTTAATGCAACTGTATCTGACGCATGAAGAAATATAAATATTGTCTTTCAATACAGTTATAAAAGTAAGGATAAAGTTTAATGCAAGTATTTTGCTATTGGCATTCCTCTCTGATCAACTGGGAACCAGTTCTATAAATTATTCAAAATGTCAAACATTGATATTGACTGGATTATAAATATTAACAATGTTATATTTGCCACTAGTATGGCTGGTATATTAAAAAATACCATTTTAAGTGTATGATCTAGTTCTTATCCCACATACCCCTGAAGATCCGGGTTAGAATTCGTCTTCAGTAGCCCATGCTTGTTGTAGGAGGCGACTAACATAATCGGGTTGTCAGGTTCGTTGACTAGGTGCTGTCTGGTCCAGAGACTCCAGACTCGATTATTTACAGTCCGACGCCTTACACCTGGAAAATTGTTGAGTGCCGCGTTAAACAACAAACCAACCGAACCAACTTCACCCCCTTGTTTCCCCAGACAGTGTTATGTCCATGACTCCCCACTCACTGATCTCCGTTCTTTACTGACCCAGAGACTATGGTCTCTGACTGGTCCCATCTTTCACGGACTCCTCTGCTCGTCACGCCGAAGGTCCGAGTTCGATTCCCCACATGGGTACAATGTGTGAAGCCCATTTCTGGTGTCCCCTGCCGTGATATTGCCGGGATATTGCTACAAACAGCGTAAAATCCAGCTCATTCACTCACTCCTAGCTTTTACGAGGGTCCAGTGTTAAATAATCGTTCAAGACCGAGGTGAAGTTGACAGTTTGGTCAATCATGAATTATCATTTAGTTTGCATTTTGCGGTAAGCTACAGTCGTTTACTTTTTAAAACTGCACATTATTACTATAAATCAGTTCATAAAGCATCACAAACGCAGATTTTCCAGGTATTACTGCATATGTAAGGGACGTAACTCCAGTCAAAATGGCATTCGGAGGAAAGCACAGCTTTATCCGAGGTAGCCGAAACTTCATAGCATTGTTCCGATCGTACAATATGGCTGCTGGTGGACCGAGTATGTGGTATCAGAAGGAGGTAACGATAGCCGCAAAGAAACGAGGTTGTCATCTCATATCAGACGATATTGTGAAACAGTTTCCTGAAATAAAAAAGATATCCGTTGGACTCTTACACATTCACAGTGAGTTACTACCTGTCTGAGAGCATTCGTATCCACTTGTTCAGTATTCGATCACCTTATTTACCAACAAATTTACCAACCAATTTCAAGAATAAATATTACGTTGGAGATAGATCATAGAGCATTAAGTGGAAAGAGTTCCTTACGTACCCCCGCCTATTTGATAATGTACTTTTCATTACTTGGTTATCTTTGTATTTTTTTAAAAATTAGGTGTGGGTATCTACGTAAGGGGCCTCTTAGTCTTACCTATAGTATAAGTATTATCAGGACTTCAATCAATTACGAAACCCTCAATTTTAGGTAATATTTTAATTTGTGTACATGAAATTCGCCCAGTCCACACATTTGCATTTTGGAAAGAATTCCATGTTTTATGTTGTAATACAATGTTTAATGTGAGATGATGGAAAACACTGACAAAACTTTGTTCTTACTTTTAAGTCAAACATACGTCGGCAAGTGTGGCCCTGAATGAAGTAAGTAAATGCAATAAACCCTGCAAAAATACCATGACAGATACAAAGTCTTTAATTTATTTCATAAATAATGGTCTCAATTTATGTGAAACATCTATGTTCTTTACATCACTAACTCTGCATGAAAAGAAACACAAAAACATTTTTAATCAAACAAGATCATTATTGTTTCTTCATAAATACTGCGACCCGTGAAGATCCGGGGTAGAATAGGTCTTCAGCAACCCATGCTTGCCACAAAAGGAGACTATGCTTGTCGTAAGAGGCGACTAACGGGATCGGGTGGTCAGGCTCGCTGACTTGTTTGACACATGTCATTGGTTCCCAATTGCACAGATCGATGCTCATGCTGTTGATCACTGGATTGTCTGGTCCAAACTCGATTCTTTACAGACCGCCACCATGTAGCTGGAATGGCTAAAAACTAAACTCACTCACTCACTCATAAATACTGCATTTGACTGTTGCTAAAATAAATCTTGAAGAATAAATATACTGATTAAGACTTGATGTGATGTTTGGGTTATCATATATATGTCACAAGCAACCTATGCTTGTCACGAGAAGCGACTGACAAGAATGGGTGATCACGCTTGCTGTCTTAGTTGATTAAAGTTGTGTCTATTGATGCTCATGACGTCTATCACAAGATTGTCCTGTAATATAACTGGAATACTGGCCTCTTGAAGCAATGCTAACCAACAAACAACATGCTGAAACTCCTGTTTTGAAAGCTTTATTACTGTTGTTTTGTTCCAGAACTGGGACCCTGATGTCAGGTATGGACAGCGACCAGTAAATTATTATTATTATAATTGGATAGTGCATGCTCAAGGCGCTGGTATCTTTTTCCCACGATCATTGGATGTCAATCTCAGTGGCTCTTATTATCAATCTCAACTCCCTGGGGATCATACAACTCTTGCTGCCACAAGGTGCACCGAGTTATTGCGGCTTTCCCATCTTTTAGAGGTACCCATTCATGGGTGGTTGGACTGGGACACATAGTCACAGTACTTAGTCGAAGTTTACTGCACAATGCTGTACCCGCAACTAGGTGTTTGCACGTATTCATGTGGCCACCATCTGATCATATACCAACGGATTCGTGGGTTTTTTTAAGTGCACAGGGTTGTGTACTGTACACTAGGGGTTGTGACAACACTGAAAGAGCCTGCACACAAAGTTGACTCCAAGGTTTATAAACCCGGTCACAGGTAGGCTCGATCCCGGCACGTCATACTCGCTGGATCACTATTCTGGCGCCTTACCCAGCTCGCCCACCATGCCCCACTATGTAAAGTGTATTTTTTGTTCACATTCTCTGTACAGCTTCTCATTAGCCAAAGCTGTGCTGAACGCCTCCGTGGTGTAGTGGTTAGAGCGTCCGCCCGGAGTGCGGAAGGTCGCGGGTTCGATCCCTGACTGCGTCATACCAAAAGACGTTAAAATATGGTACTTGTTGGTCCCTGTCTGGCGCTCGGCAGTAATGGGTACAACAAGGACTGGTCAGCTCGGAGTCAGTATAATGTGTCTGAGTGGGGTATTCATGCTTCACTGTGGCATGGTATCACAGTGGGCTAGCACTATAAAACCAGCTTAAGTCTGGGCTAGTACAAGCAGCCGCACATACACATACACACTCATGCACGTCGTCATATGAGCGAAATATTCTCAAGCACGACGTTAAATCCAATTGGCCGTATGGCCTTGGATTACTTAGCCATTTAATTGCATGGACTAATTTGTCTAGGCACTGGATTTTCGGGTAATACTTTAGGTAGCATTTAAGTCATGTCACAGATTTAATTCTGTTCAAACAAACTGATTGTTCACATCATGTTTGGCTTTTAAGAATAAATATCACATTTTGAAAAATATTCATTTTCTGTGGTAGTCTGATGTTTTCTGGTTGTATGTCTGGTGAATGTAAGGGAGTGTTTTTGTCTTTGTGGTCTCAAGGACTGGCTAAAAAGATCGATAATTGGAAATATATCATCTTTGGGCAAAATTGTTATTGATTACCAATATGTAGTCAAACCCAAAACCGTTTGGATTTTGAATTCTGATTATATTCCTTTCAGGATTTCCGCTATGTTTTCCACACTGTGACGCTCTTCATATATAGCTGGAATATTGCTGAGTGTGGCGTAAAACTAAACTCACTCACTCCAATATTTATCAATAACTGATCGGTATATATTTGACCATTATCGATCAATATCGATTCGCAGATGTCGTTCTTTGAATATATATGTAATTGTATTTCTCTCAAGATGCATATAAAATACATACCCATGGTGTTACCATGGTTACCTTATTCTTTACCCTTCCAGGGTTGACATGGAAATGATGCTCAATAAAATCGTTCCTGAGGTTTGTAAACATTTTGTTATTAAAGCTTGGTGTGTTTGAAACATTTTGCAAGGTAATCATCACAAAAGATTTAAAGTATATTGGAAAGATAGACATATCACAATAATTGCTTATTGTCATGTGTTTGTTTTTAGGGATGAAACGATACGCTCTTTACCACTGTACAGTACATATGGTGGTACAAGGCCTTCGGTTCGGTCCATTTCGGTTTGGTATATGAGAACTTACTTCTGGGAAAATAGTGGCCGTCTAGCAAAGAAATGCATCTATTTTGATAAAATTATTCAATTTCTAGACTTTAAAAAGTATGTATTTATCGATATATAAAAATGGTTAATAAAATGACGGTACAAAAACCGAAAATTCTGAATTTTCGATTGCATTACGGTATACCGAACCCAAAGTATTTTTGGCAAAATACTGCGGTTCTACTAATACCGCAGTATACCGTTTCATCTCTGTTAGTTTTACGCTATGTTACATTGAATGGTACCCAACAGATTTAAGAAATCGTGGTAATGTAAAAGTGTTACTAGTTTCATGTTAAGGCATTGACTCCTATCGATTCCTGTCCTGATCAGGCTTGTTAAAGCATGTTTTGTTTTATGTTCTTAGGGAGCTGGTTACTTGCATTCCTGCGAGGGCTCAGATGATATGGTGAGGAATTTGTATATATGATAAGTTAGTTCTTGAACCCTGGAATCTCGATGACATGTGTAGATCCACCTTAGAATGGTCTTCAGCAACCCATACTTGTCCTAAGAGCGACTAACAGGATCAGATTTTCAGGCTCGCTGACTTGGTTGACACACTTTTTATAGTTTACCATTTGTGTAGATCGATGCTCATGGTGTTGATCACTGGATTGTCTGGTCCAGATTGGATTACTTACTGACCGCCGCCAAATAGCTGGAATATTGCTGAGTGTGGCGTTAAACAACAAACCAATAACATAGTAGCATTTGTCATAGAGCAAATATGTTGCATAAAATAACATTCCCCCTAAATGTGATGCCTGGGTTTCAGCCAGCACATGTGAAGGCGGCTCTGATCGGAAGCAGCGTCACAGTGCCGATCACTGACGGGAAGATGAACATGGGAACATGGCAGGGAGTGTGGCTGTGTGAACATCGCAACCGTGCAGGTCAGTTGGTGATTATGTCTATCATAGATGCAGGGCTCGATTTAAGCATGTAGAACTTGCACTGGTGCAACCTGAAACTGCTAAATGCAACCTTGTATTTATATCAACTTGCACCCAGTGCATGTTAATATTTTGTGTTCAACTTGCTTCAGCCAGAATGATGAGGAACTGGCTTAGAGCAGTGACTCTGACTGCTCCGTGAACAGCGACTGAAGGATTTACTTTACTGTTCATGAAAGTCTAGGAAGTAAGAGAACTAATCTTATCAGACCCAGATTTCTTTTGTTATAATAATGTTCTAAACCGTCTTTACCACAACTCAAGCATTGTATAAGATTTTATATTGAGCAGCACGTGCAGCCTGTTTTTGTTTGGTGCAACAAGGTTGGTTAGTGCTCCAGGGTCAGTGTTGGTGAGGTTTTTTCTTGGTTAAAATATGGGAAGAAAATCACAGAATTCTTCAGAGTGCTTTTGAGTTTCAATACACTATGCTGTTGTGCACCCTGACAAGCAATACTGTTGAAGATCAAGAAACAGTATCAGGTACACTTGGTTGATGTGTCATTCTATCCAATTTGTACAGATTGTCTAGTCCAGACTCGACTATTTTGCAGACCACCAAGAAGATCCTGTTAAAATTGGTCTTCAGCGGTAGAATGCAATGAAATTTTGTATTTGTACTGCTCATGTTTCACGTACTTCATATTTCCAATGTTTATCTTGAATTGACCTATCTTTTGAAATGCTTGTTCCTGCATCTGGATTCATCACCTCAGAAACAACTGGACCATTGAAGCTTAGACTATACATGCTATTCCCATCACAATTTGTTGACACATTTGTTAAAAGTCAATCTTTCTTGATATACTGAACTGTGTGGGTGGGTGGGGTAGCCTAGTGATTAAAGCGTTCGCTCATCATGCCAAAGACCAAGGTTCGATTCCCCACATGGGTACAATGTGTGAAGCCCATTTCTTGTGTTCCCCGCCATGATATGGCTGGAATAAAAAAATATACTCACTCTAACTGCATATCCAGATGAGCTATATGGCCTTGACAGTATGGTTATTAGTTCATATATGTCATTCTCTTATTATATATCATAACAGAATGAAGATATAATATGCGATAATACAGTAAAAAACAGTTCCATAACGAATAACAAGTTTAATAAGTGAAACAAATCTCTCATCTACAGGTTCTCGTCATCTGGTTGCAACCCTACAAGGAGCTGCGAAACAATAGCAATATAGATGTATAAAGAAGAATTCCACTGCACCGTTCCATGGCACATCGATCTTTTAGGTGCATGAAGACACTTGTATATATTCATGTTTTGTTAGGATTCTTTGTTAATGGATCCAAACGAATGGTTTGCGTACTTTCCTGTAACTAACAGNTCTGTAGAACAGTTGGCAGTGTCTGACAGTTAAAGTTGATTGTATTCTCTCCATAAAGACACAAGTTCACAGTTGCTTCCTGAAGGAGAAACATGCTACAACTGGTCTTCAGCAACAAATGCTTGTTGTAAGAGGCGACAAATGGGAGTGACCGGCGTGCGTGATGAATTGGTTGACACATGTCATCGTTTCCCAGTTTTGAAGGTTGAGGCTCATGACGTCAATCATTGGATTGTCTGTCATCATAGCTGGATTATTGCAGCATGTTGCATAAAACAAAACAAAAAACAACAGTCTGCCGAATTCTCCTCACAGAGGATGTCGAAAGAGGTCAAGTTTTTCTTAAACATTTGAGTTTATGGTTTTGAAAATATATTAGTAGAGCATTCAATTAATAGCTTAGATGACTTTGGTATTTCATGTTTGCCTGCAAGATTTTGAGGTAGAAATTTGGGAAAAAGCAACTGGGGTTACCAGGTAAAACACACATACAAGAGTTACTTCCCTTGCCTTATTGTTCACATTCAACTGACGAATTTTATTTTATTCTGTTGATGTTCTTGCTTAATAGCATTAACATTTTAAGCGACAGAATGTATTTCTGTATATAAGTTTATCACCTGAAATATTAATGACAAAAATAACTCATGTTATGTATGATGTTGTATATTGTGTATTGATAACAGGATCAATTTATTCCCCAAAAGAAAAAATGTTTCCAATAAAAAAAAATGTACTATTATGTGATGAATAACTGTCTGTGTGTGTGATGTTTATCTATGGCAAGAGTAGACAAATGGTCTGGAAGGGCTCTTGAGAACAATATGTTTGCACAAACTATAGATCCCTGAAGATCCAGCAAACCATGCTTGTTGTAAGAGGCGACTAATGGGGTTAGGTTGGTCTGACTCGCTGACTTGGCTGACACATATCATCGTATCCCATTTGCGTAGAACGATGCTCATGCTGTTGATCACTGGATTGGCTGGTCCAGACGCGATTATTTACAGACCGCGCCATATAGCTGGAATATTACTGAGTGCAGTGTTAAACAACATACCAACCGACCAACCATAAACTAAAGTCTGCCAGGAGAATGGAAGTGGTTTGAACCCTGGTCATGTCATGTGCAAAGACCATACAGGGATGAAGTTCCGACATTATGGAAACCTTGGCCATTCTTTCTGTAGCCATGGCCTGCCATGACTGTTGCAAGTTCTGGGACCCTTGAGGTTAGTGACAAGCAGCTACAGTGAAGGAGTGAATGACGCTTTAAGAAATATTTCAGCAATATCACGGAGACACGAAAAATGAGCTTCACAGATTGTTCACATCTGGGGAATCGAACACTTGTCTCCTGTGACAGGCGAACGCTTTAACAACTAGGCTACCCCATCGCTCTGTACAGTGAAGGAACATATGTGATCGTTTGACACTATCTTCGACAAAACTAGTTGACATCTAAAGAACGCATCTCTGTAGCTGACATTGCTAATCAGATGTCTCCTGGGCATGTAACCTAATTCCGATGTAGGCTGATAAGCTCACAGAACATTTAATAGCTTCACCACAAGGAGTGATAGAGTTTTATATAAGGCTGCCAGTAAGAGTGCTCAAAATAATCTGGCCAGGGCCAGACTCTATGGCAAAGCAGGTCTGTTTGACTATTTTTACTTATCAAAGTTCTCACTCCCAAACGAACAAAAAAGACGCCAAGAGTGTGTATTTTCCCGTTTTATTTGACATGGATACGCGCTGTGCTACCCGATGGCTGCTGTTCTACGACTGTCGGACAGGTACAGTGGAACACACTGTGAAGACCCAACGTCGATCCCTGTCGAAGGAAGGAGATAATGTTACAAAGTGACAGTATACAATGCCCACGAGGTTACGCGCAAGTCGTAATACCATTTTAACTCAACTTGGCACAGAATTAATTTCCCTTATAGGCGTGATTCGAATGGATGGCTGGGTTTGACAGCGTCATTTGAATAGAGCATGGTGATGCTTTTTGTCTGGGTCATTTAAGGAAGTCTGTGGATTTATTACTATACTGGACAAAATAAGTTAGGGATATTGGTATTTTTATAATTGATATTTTATTAGTGTGTCAATGAATAAATAGATTATTATTCATAATTTAAAAATTTACATATATCCCTAACTATTTTTGTCCAGTATACTTTGATAGGTGACCATGTATTTCAGCTTGACTTTGAGAGTTTCAAGGACCTCAGTCCTGCGTCACAACGAAAACACGTGGCACATGTGGTCTCACCTAAGGCAAGTGAGCTTGTTCAGCATTGCTATGGTCACATAGCCGAAAATGGGTACCCGGTGGGATACGTCCTATGACTATTAACCTTCTAGCGCCACACAGGCAGCTTGGGGTAATAATGCCCATCATGTTGTATGCGCTTAGAGCATGTCCCTGTTGTATCAATAACTAAATATGTGTTCGTGATTTATCACGTTTTCATTCTCAGGGATGGTAAACACGGTTCAAGTTTTGAAAACGGGACTTACTCTTTTTTGTTGTCATGGAGACTGAATGCCCCACGTAGGACCTTCCCGGCGGGGACCTTGAAGTCCATCGGTCTGTCGTAGTCGTTCTGCCACCCGGTGTAGGTACACTCCGTCAGCACCACGTCTACAAGCATAGCCATAGTGAGTGAGTGAGCGTAGTTTTACGCCGCTTTTAGCAATATTCCAGCAATATCATCGCAGGGGAAACCAGAAATGATTTTCACACATTGTACCCATGTGGGGAATCGAACCAGGTCTTCGGCATGACGACCGATCGCTTTAACCACCACCGGCCCCAACGTACCACGCTAGGTACATATGCATGATTCCATGACTCAGAGTCAGAGAAATAGATGCCAAAATATTTGAATTCATGAATGAATGAAATGTGTAGCGGGTATTAGACATTAATCACTTTGGGAGAACCCAGCCACGAGTGTGGATGTGGTGTCGACACACCTAGAAACAGACCGCCTCCATGGTGTAGTGGTTAGAGCGTCCGCCCGGAGAGCGGAAGGTCGCGGGTTCGATCCCCGACCGCGTCATACCAAAAGACGTTAAAATATGGTACTTGTTGGTCCCTGCCTGGCGCTCGGCATTAATGGGTACAACAAGGACTGGTCGGCTCGGAGTCAGTATAATGTGCCTGAGTGGGGTATTCATGCTTCACTGCGGCATGGTATCTCAGTGAGCTAGCACTATAAAACCAGCTTCAGTCTGGGCTAGTACAAGCAGCCGCCGCATTCACATACACATACACATGCATGCACGTCGTCATATGGGCGAAATATTCTCAAGCCTCACCCTCACGTACCTTAAACCCAATTTCACCTCACCTCACCTCACACCTAGGAACATGTCTACAACACTAACTAAAGGACCGGGATTGGAAAGCACGATCATAGATTTCTGGTACGGGTAAGGGACACAACTCTACACTGGTCAGTTGTGTACCATTTGACTAAAATGAAACTTAAAATCAAACAGGACTGTTTGACCTTCAACTAAGATGTTGTTTTAGATGATTCTTAAACCCACGTGAACTGGGTTCAACAACACCTACGTCTCTTTGATCACTGTCTCTGGTCCAGACTGCATGCCGTGACTATTGATGTGATAATGAACTGGGTTCAACAACACTTTTTCTTTGACTGTCTTGCTGAACAATTGTCGCAGATCGCACGAGTAAGTGAGTGGACACGGTTTTGCGCGGGGAAAAACAGAAATGGTGCCCATTCACACGTTGTACCCATGTTTGGTATCGACCCTGGGTTTTCAGGGGACGAGCGAACGCTTTAACCACTAGGCTACAGCACTCTATCGAATACTGAAATTATTGACATACATGCAAGTGTACAAGTGCCGCAGAACATAAACAAAGACCAATTCCCTGAAACCGACAGTAGTGAGTGAGTATGGTTTTACGCCGCGTTTAGCAATGTTCCAGCAATATCACGTCGGGGGCACCAGAAATGGGCGTCACACATTGTACCCATGTGGGGAACAGAACTCGTTCCTTCGGCGCGACGAGCGAACGCTTTAACCACTAGGCTTCATCACCGCCCCGAAACCGACAATAACTATGAGCAGTACCGGGCCGAATCTGAGAGTCTAATTCTAGATCAGCATATCCTGGGACAGTCAATATGACGTCATTTCTTCATATCTAATTCACCGTCTCTAATGGCTAGTTGACAAAAGCAACTCACTTGGGATGGCGCAACACCTGAACTTGAACTGTCTGTCCTCGCGACGGTTGCTATGGCGACTGTCTATCCCCGTGATGACGCCTTGCCCGCTGCATTGAAACAGAAGTAGTCCATCGTAGTTGTTGGCGTAGGAGTCGCTTTGGCTTGCTGCCCAAAAGAAGATTAATACACAATAGTTGGTTGGTTTGTTGTTTTACGCCGCACTCAGTAATATTCCATCTGTATGTCAGCGGTCTAAATATTTGAGTCTGGATCAAACAATCCAGTGATCAACAGCATGAGCATCGATCTACTGGGATACGATGACATGTGTCAACCAAGTCAGCTAGTCTGACCACCCGATCCCGTTAGTCGCCTCTTACGACAAGAATGGATTGCTGAAGACCAATTCTAACCCGGATCTTCACGGGTCTTTTGCAGAATGAATACTTACCCCGAAAAGGCGGACCAGCACTGGCCGTCTTGGCAACTCACTTACGTGTCCAGGCGCACGACTCCGAGGCTCCCGTCCTGGCACAGGCGAGTGACCAGCGTCTGTCCTCCTTCTTGTTGTCGTGCTCGCTGTAGATGGAGCTGAGAGACGTCCCTGACGGACACTGGCGTTTGAAGGACTGGTCCCAGTCATTGACAAATACCGCGTTACTCAGGCAAACCGTTGCCAACACAACCAGCACATATACCTGTTGGAATCGGTAAGAGACATGTTGGCACTACTTTAGTGTATATAATATATTATATACTGTAGCGTGGGTCGATCTGTATAACTTATTATCCACCCATCATCAGCCACCCTTAACACCAGCATCCCCCACTCCCCCTGCCCCTCCCCAACTCCCAATAGAATTACAGTATCCTGAAGTGACGGATCCAGAGAGGGGGGGTGTAGGGGTAGGGGTGCACACACACCCTTTTTTCCTGAAAGTTTATTAAAGACCACTGAAACACTCGTGGAAATGAAGTGTGTAAACCCCCATTCCCCACCATCCCCTTTCTCAACAGCGTGCACCGCTCCTTTCTCCAAAAGCTGTATCTGCCCTTGAGTGAGTGAGTGAGTGAGTTTAATTAAAGCAACAGTTGCTCAATATCTAGGTGGGTGAAACAGCTATAGGCCTCACTGTACCCACGTTTGGAACGTTTGCGTGAGTGAGTATGGTTGTACGCCGCTTTTAGCAATATTCAAGCAATATCACGGCGGGGGACACCAGAAGGCTTCACACATTATACCCATGTGGGGAATCGAACCGGGTCTTCGGTGTGATGAACGGACGCATTAACCATTATGCTACCCCGCCGAGCGGAGTATAAGGATACATTTCATGAGTGATGATTGATTGACAGAGTTCGCGTTAACGCAAACACCTATGTGTTTCATGCAAATAAATCTACATTTCACGCACGAAATTTTCTACCTGCGTGTTCTGCACTATGTTCTGGGAACAAGTAACCGAAAAATCTATTTGCCCATGGAAACAACAAAATAAAATAAATATTCTCTCAGCTAATTTGACTTGCAAATGAGGACAACATGCTCTAAAATGGAAGGGAATGACGTCTAAATTTCAAATTTGTTACAGGGGGACCCCGTACCCGACTAGAGACCTCGCTGCTTTCTGGCTGGGGCATACACCTTCGGTGCATGCACACGCAATATTCTTGGGGCTATGCGTTTTAGGAACGCAAAGCTTTTTTTCCTACCGCGAACACTGACCACAACAGTGCTGGAATTGGAAATATTTCATCTGCTAACAAAACAAACTTACCATAAACGTCATGTTTCTCTTGTCGTGAACGAAGGATGCACGCGCATTAAAAAGGCAGGTTGTGCTGCACATTTGCTCCAAGAACCTTTATATAGATTCACAAACGGATGTAGATGTATTTGCACGTGGAAACGTTACCTGTGTTTATCGAGCAATAATTAATTATTCGCCGAAATTATTTCTTTGATGGCCGTTATGATACCACCCTGTTCACATAAGGGATCCAAATATGGAAAAATAATTCGAACCACTCGTACTTTGACGACAAGGCTTTGAACATTATTTAATTATCCACGATGTGATTTTGTATTTTGTTCAATACCATGTAAATAATTTCATCGTGAAAAGTATGAACAGGTAGCTCGTGTGTCAATCGATGTATCAATTGCGACCATGTGGAGATGTGTATTCGGAAATTCATATATCGATTAGGTAAAATGGAATGTTTAAATCATGTTTGTTAATACGATCAAATTATATAGGTTAAAATCATTGATCAATAATAAATATATGTACACCTAAATTGTAAAATAAATGGAAAGGTTCTGGATCATTTATACACAGGGATAGACTAACATCTAGTCTCTGAAATGAACATATTTTTCACAAAAAACGGTTTATAAATAATAATTATGAAATATAATGAAAAGGAGCCTAGAGACATTGATAATTTAGACTTGCCACATATTCTAGACAATCATGGGCTGCATTGGGTATATTTGTTTCAGCATCTACATGCATGCCAGATTAACACAGGGCCTGCATGCACAAAGCGATCTTAGCGCCATACGATGATCGTAACTCTAACATAGAATTAAGACGGTCTGAGCTCTGCAATCGCTTTGTGCAAGAGGGCACAGGTCAATAAGGAAAGGTCGTGATGACAAGGTTTATCTGCCTATTACTACATTAGAATCTATGTCGAAACATCGCCTTTCACAGAATATAAAGAAGTTGTTTATCCATAAAATTATAATCATTTGTTCTCACTGAAAAACAGAAAGAGACCCCCTCATCAAGACCATTTTCAAAAGCCGCCACACAAGGGAAACATATCTCATAATTTGTGTGCGAAATTTCATAAAAACAAAATTAATTATGCTTATCAGATTATTGAAAACTGACGCAAAACTGTCACGTGGGGATTTCTAGAACATGACCCCCCAAATCTCATAACGTAGTTAAGAATATGTTCAAATCTTACAACTAAAATCCCAGATCCACCTCGTAGAATAGCGGTGAGTAAGTGAGTGAGTTTAGTTTTACACCACACTCAGCAAAATTCCAACTATATGGCGGCGGTCTGTAAATAATCGAGTCTGGACCAGACAATCCAGTGATCAACAGCATGAGCATCGATCTGCGCAATTGGGAACCGATGACATGTGTCAACCAAGTCAGCGAGCCTGACCACCCGATCCCGTTCGTCGCCTCTTACGACAACATCACATATAGTCCCTTACCACAACGCAATCCCAGTAGGTATGTAAGGAGTATCCATGGTCACCTCAAACCAGATTATAGATACCAAGATTAATTCCCAGCCATATGATGTCGCTAGTGGTCAGATGTGTGTTGTTTAATGCCGAACCCAAAGTATTCCATCGATATTCACACTGATATTCTCACGCCTCGACTATTGCAATAGCCTACTGTGTGGTGTGTCACAAGAATCTGTCTCAAAGTTACAAAAAATACAAAATACTGCAGCTCGAATTGTGTGCCTTGCTCTAAAGTTTGCACATATACAGCCACTTCTACGATCCCTACACTGGCTGCCCATCTCAGCTAGAATTGAGTTTAAAGTTCTTGTTCTCGCATACCAGTGCCTTAACGCTATCGCGCCATCCTATTTGTGTGAACTTGTAAGCCAGTATAATCCAACTAGAACTCTCAGATCCCAGTCACAAATTATGTGCACAGTGCCCAGATACAGACTAAAACGATTTGGATTCAGATCATTTGCCTACCAATCAGCTGTTCTATGGAATTCTCTGCCTGAAGATCTCAAAACAGCCCCAAGCCTGCACTCCTTCAAAACTCTCCTCAAACCGTTTTTATTCAAGAAGTACTTTGTCTAGACTCTCACCCAAATAACTTTACTTGTAGCGCCATGAGCATACCAGCTGGCGTGGAGATTGGCGCGTTACAGATTCACTCATTATTATTATTATATGACGGCGGTCTGGGTCTGAAAATCTCGTGATTAACACTACGAGCATCGATGTAGGCAACAGGGATGCAACGCCCATCCGATCCTGTTAATCGCCTTTTAAAACAAACATAGCTTCATGAAGATCAGTTGTATCCCGGATCTTCACGGTTCGCACTCCTTAGTGGGTGCCGGATCTATATTTACCTATTACCGAAATCCCATTGGTTTGACCGTTGTGAACACATGTTGGCTCGATCTTAGGTTGAAGAAGGTGCTTTGTATACCATACCCCTAGAGAACGGTTAGTCCAATTAAGGGCAAATTTAGATGTCCGAGATTATTAGTGATATTCCGATTCGTACAATGGCAATTATAATTCAACTTCCTAGGAAGCCGTAATCACTGGCAATATTGTTGAAATAAAAGAAGACGATTGACAAATTCAATATAATGTAAAATTTATTGACACACTGAAACGTTTGGCGTTGGCTCGTCACGCCGAAGACCCGGGTTCGAATCCCCACATGGGCACATTGTGTGAAGCCCATTTCAGGTGTCCCCCCGCCGTGATATTGCTGGAATATTGCTAAAAAGCGGCGTAAAACCATACTCACTCACTCACTGAAACGTTTGAAAGTGGTGAGGTATGTGTAATGTCCGACTAAAGCACTAATACACTCGTATTCAAAAGTCTTCACCAGTTCGTGAGATCGGTGGGTAGCCAAGTAGTTACAGTGTCCACTCGTCACACCAAAAGCTCGAGTTTGTTTCCGTACTTCCAGTTCTGTGGTTTGTTGGTGTATTCCTAAAATTGAGGTAAATAGTGAGCCCCTAGAGTTCGTGATCTATGAAGGTTGAAATTACACTTTTAGCCCAAACTTAGGAGTGTCTTATAACTACGATATCTTTGTGAAACGGGACATCCTAGGCCTGTAAATATCATATTGGCCTCGTTGGTGTACAAAGATGCCAGTGTGTGAGGCACAGGGAGGTAGAAGTCATCACCGTAGTGTCATCTTCATGTACTCCACCATCTTCCTCATGAACCAGCTCGTGGTCGTCAACACTTAGCCTCATCATCCGACTCTCCAACATAGAGGCGTCTTCATCTTCTTCATCAAGGTCAACCTGAAACTGCTCACTGTTCGCGCCTGCTTGCGTCCCCTGCCGTGCCAGGAAACTGTTGATGGCGTCCGTCTGTTGCAGAAGGTAGAGGCTATACATAAAGAACACGGCCTTAGTGATCTCGTACCGTTGACCGAGGAGCTCAGACCCAGATATATGACCAGACCTATTAGCACGCTGTTTCCGAGAGGATATGTTCTCCAACCGGGCTATTAGGTCGTCCATCTGGTGGTGAGCTCTTTGGGCGACCGTCTCCGCCCTCTGCACGATAGCAACGGTCTGAACGAGGGCTGTGATGGCGTCCAGGCGAGAGTTGAGGTCGTTCAACTGATGTAGATCTCTGTCAGTGAGAGGCTCTTGTCTTTGCATTATTGAGGGATGTGTGGGGCAAATTGGAATATATCCCGTAGTTGCGTTTTCGGGGACTCGCATATACTAATTAATTTGAAATGGAGCTACAGAGTGCGAAGACGCAATACCTGGAAGCGATCGTATAATTGTACACGTTAGGTGCTCAGACTGAATGAGCGAGCCCGGTGCGATTTTATATCAAGGAATTATTCAATCTCGTTACCTATAATCCACGTGGTGATCTCATAGCTTCTCCGAACATGTGATTCCTGTAATTGTCCTCAACCTATCAGTACATCAGTCGGAGACAATGATTGCGATACTTCTCAACCTGTTAATCCTGTAAATTAGTTATAATCTATTAACACTGTGTTTACAACTGGATACATGGTGCTGAAACCCGGATGTATCTCAAGGATGATGTTCGTGAGGAGACTGTGTGGTTCTTGACCGGGAATTCCACTTAATCCTTCGCAAACAGTCATTCTTATGCTCATTACAGCATATCCGTCTGTGCTCATTACAGCATATCCGTCTGTGCTCATTACAGCATATCCGTCTGTGCTCATTACAGCATATCCGTCTCAAGACAAAGATATCTGGGATTTTAAGTTCTTTGTTCTTTCAATCTGACATTGTCGGCCTCCTTATCAGCCAGTGCTGGTCACAACAGATTACCAAATACGAAATTGGGTCCACCGCACGTTCTCTCTTTGTATCAACTTCATTTTTTAACCTTTTATATGTTTATCATTATTCACTAAATAAATATGTTTTTAAACATGGGTTGGGTGTTAAAACAATAAATAATAACAATAACCATTTATTACACTACATCTACTAGTATATTAAATTCCAAATCTCTATTACCCTTTACCTATTTAATATTTTTTACCTTTTTAATTCGGCCTCACATTCAAATTTCCCTTATTACGCAGTTGTTTTTTTGGGCTGTTTTGGGGTTTTTTTTGGTAGTAACACCACTCTTTCAAAATTTCTTGTTTTTGTTCCCCTTCATTTCTTAATATGTGTACTACCCCGTCGCCGAAATACCTTAGTTGTGCGTGCGACGTTACATAAAGCAAATAACAACTGCATGCACTCGCTTTAAACATATTTATTTCCAAAGAAAGGAACCTGATTGGTAAACAAGCATAAGCTTATATGAAAACCGCTCCGGGATACAATGGAAGGAAGAGTAAACATGTCATGATGAATGTACAATATGAATGATATATAAATGTTGCAAAAACGAGAAATAACGCCAATCATTGTTAAACAGTGTATGTCATATGAAGAAATTATTTTGGATCAAATCTGCCTGTTAAATTTATAAACGAGTGCACTGTACTTACTATCGAAGAACAGCTTTGGTTTCCAAACAAAATTGATTTTAGGTGAAATCCTTTAGTATAAAAATACATAATTTGACGTATATCGTTGTAAATAGTACATGAAAAGAAATAATGAGCAGAGTCTTCATAGTTGTGGCCACAAGAGCAAGATGATGTTGGAGATATAAATCTTTCATATTTGTGCGCATTAAAGGTCACTACATTCAAGTCGGAGACGAGAATGTATGATTTGACAAAATCTGCTACCGAAATTTAAGTCAAAATGACTGTAGATATTAGAATCATTTAAAAGTACATTTTTGAAACTCGATAGGCACGGTGATGCTCTATGTTCAGCTGGTAATAAATTCCATAATTTAACAGTATCTGGAGGAAAGGACCTCGCATAATTTACAGATTTACAGTTTATAGTCTGAAGATTTGAATCACTGCGCAGATTATAACCAACGATATCTGATACTCTAGGCGGAACAAGGTTACTAAGGTAACTTGGCGTAGTGTTATTAACCATTTCGTAAAACATAGCCATTTTATGAAGGTACCTTCTACGACACAACGGGTGACAATTAGTTTCTTTGTATATTTTATGATGGCTGGTACCACGAACAGCACCACGCACGGTTCTTAGAGCATCAAGATTGAGCTTTTCAAGTATATCTGCTTGCTGTTTAGTACAATTATCCCATATATGGCTGCAATAATCAAAAACTGGTAATATGAACTGTTTGTACATGGTTTCAAATGTTTTTCGGTTTAAACGATATTTGAGACTTCTTAGACAATTCACCATTGGTGCAACTTTTTTAACACAGTCGTTAATGTGTTCATTCCATGAGCAATCATGCTGAAGTATAAGACCTAAATGTTTATGGCTTTGTACGGAATTAATGACATTACCATTCATGGTTAGGTTCGGCATTGGAGTTGGTTGCAATTTACGAGTAAAGCGTATTGACTCTGTCTTATTGGGATTAGTAATACTTGCCATTTTTCTGCCCATTCGTCATTTCGTTGTAAATCATCGTGCATTACAATAGCAGTTACCCCAGGATCATCAATGATCGCATTTAAAGAAGTATCATCTGCAAAAAAGGCGTATATTATTTTTCATACCTTCAACTATATCATGTATATAAACAATAGCGGCCCCAATACTGAACCCTCTCCAGCAAATACAGCTTTACTCCCTTGCTTCCAACCCTGGGGTGGGGTACTCCAGCAAAACCCGGGTTCGATTCCCCAGGGTACTTTATCATTTCTATCTAAAAGCTCCCTAAACTGCTTCAGACACCTCACATGGACACAGAGCGCATGTGCGTGTGCGTGTTTGTGTGTGCGCGTTGATTATGTGAAATGTGCGAATATTACGTCAAGAATAGTATATAAAGTAAAGGGTGCGGGGATTATGTCAAGAGATAATAGATTATACAGGTGGGTGTTGATTGTTTCAACTGTGCGTACATTCTGTAGTGCGTGTCTGTTATTTAGAAGAGCGTGGGTTACTTAAAGGGAGTACAACATAAAACATTGAGAGTAAAGTATGCCAAGAACGTGCATGCGTGTTATATTAAGTGCGGCTGCTTGTAGACAATGCTCAAAGCATATAGCCAGCGAGATACATTATGCAAACAGTCATGAACATGTAAAGGGTCGTAAACATGCAAACTCCGTGGTAAAGTCATGTGTTGTACCCATTAATGCAGTGCACAGGCAGGGAAACATGTAAACAGTGCATAAACATGTAAACAGTGCGGTAAACATGTAAAGAGAACTTAAAACATGCATGCTTTGATTATGCAAAAGAATGTATTGGTTATGATTCCTAAGGAGTCACAAAGTTAGCTTGCTTCATCATTGACACTTGCATTTCCCCGAAATATGATCCTTTGCTAAGCCTAAACTTTTGGTTTGGTTGTTGATTAAGGCCGCACTCAGTAATATTCCAGTTTCATGGCAGCGGTTTGTATATAATCAAGACTGGACCAGACAATCCAGTGACCAAATCATGAGCATCTATCTATGCACTTGGGATAGGATGACACTGTCAACCCAGTCAGCGGGCCTGACCACCCGATCCCCTTAGTAGCCTCTTACCACAAGCATGGGTTTCTGAAGACCAGTTCTAAGGCAGACTTCACAGGTCTGGTCAAGTCATAGTAAAATACTTGTTTGCTTCCAAGAAAAACAAAAAATGATACAATTTTCATGTTATTTATTGTTTCATGTATTTTACATATCATACACCTTCATAGTTGACTGAAACAAAAATGGGAATGAATCTGTCTCATCGGTTCCTTATGATTCATAGTGAACATTCCACAAAATGTCTTATTCTGAAAGTCTATACCAATAGAAAATGACCATTGATGATTTATTCACAGATGTGAATGACGGAGGTAATATACACAAGCTATGTACAAATAACACAAGACAGTGCTTAGTGTTCAATGTCCTTGGTCACAAAGTGTTACAGCCTGCACATTAATGTATATAATAAGTCAATATATTCCAAGTTTTCATGATTTCAATATCTGAAGTGACTTGAGGTTCAGAACTCCATGTCAGCTATGTAACAATCAATGATACAATTAAACTATACAGCTCAACACTCCATAGGGACATTGTGAAACTCTGATCAACACTGAGACATGTACTATTTTTATGCTTGCTGGTTTCACGCTGCTTTCAGCAATATTCCAGCAATATAACTGCGGGGAACACCAGAAATGGGCTTGTACCCATGTGGGGAATCGAGCCCGGGTCTTTGGCGTGATGAGGAGGACATTTTAACCATTAGGCAGCATCCCTCTGCCCCTCTGTTATTGTATGCATTCATAGATATTTTAACTTGAAATCAAGCTGAAAGTTGTTCGTTCCATGACTACTATTGAAAAGGCAATATCTCCAAAAAATAAGTGACATTCATCTTAAACATATGCTATCCCTATGGAACGTTGGGCAGTAAATTTCCAAACTGTGTGTCTGGCATTACAGTATTCATGGAAAGGTGTGGAGCCTTCCTGGAAGATGTCCCAATCAAGGTCTTGCTGTTGATGTGGATGTTCTGGGAAAGAAACCTTAAAAAATTTCCCACTTGACCACATGACCAGTGAGTGGACAATAATTAGTGGTCCTATCTGTACTTCACTGGTCCAAAATAACATTCGTATATTTACTTTAAAAATTCACTGGCCACCAGGACCACTGCAAATTTATTATTTAGTGGTCCTGATGAATCTTTACTAGCCAGGGACCAGAGGACCAGCGTAAATTTTGAACACTGATGTTGACTTGCCTAAGGTTACGTTACGGCTACCTCAAGGTAAAGCAACACTTTAGCTGTAGACAGTCACTAACGATTCTTGAAAAACACAGATTTGCTGCCCTCACACATCAGGCATACTATCTTGAATCTGGCCTCTTCATCTTAATTCATTTTCTGTTATCTTCTATGAAAAGTTTCCAATAGTCTTCTGGACCAGTATTAAAACGTCAATTTTCTGAGGCTGTGCACACACTGTGAGATGGGAGAGACGAGTCTACATGGGGTAGTTGAGCATCACGTCCTGTTTGGCCAACTCCAGCAACATAGGGTCGTCGAAGAACTTGTTGATGGATACATCCTCGCTCAGACCCTGGAGACAGTTTTATATTCACAATTAATATCATGCTGATCAGACGATTCACAGACATGGAACATCTTCATTGTATCACTTGCTAATGGTATAAATATCGTTCTTTGTGTACACTACAAAAGGATTGGTTGGTTGATGTGCTGTTTAGTTTTGCTCAGCAATATTTCGACTATGTAGCGGTGGTCTGTAAATAATAGCATCTGAACCAGACAATCTGGTGATCAACATCATGAGCATTGATCTTACACAATTAAGATACGATGACAGGTGTCAACCAAGTCAGTGAGCTAGGAGTGAGTGAGTGAGTGAGTTAAGTTTTACGCCACACTCAGCAATATTCCAGCTATATGGCAGCGGTCTGTAAATAATCAAGTCTGGACCAGACAATCCAGTGATCAACAACATGAGCATCGATCTGCGCAATGGGGAGCCAATGACGTGTCAACCAATCAGTGAGTCTGACCACCCGATCCAGTTAGTCGCCTCTTACGACAAGCGTGGGTTACTGTAGATCAATATTCTAACCTGGACCCAGTGAGCTCGGAAGCATGGTAGACTCAAATTATGGACAACTCCCTTATTCTACTGTAACTGCTTTTACAATAAATTACCAAGACTGTGTGGTGTGGTGTGGTGTGGTGTGGTGTGGTGTATGGTGTAGGTAATAGATAGGGGTGGGTATTGCAGAGAATTTTCATATTGCGATATATTGCGATGTGGAAGCATATATTGCGATTTATATTGCAATATATTGCAAGGATTATTTTTTTAACAAAACATACTTATAATCGAGTTAATGCTTGATTATAAAGCAAAAACACAACAAAATCACTATGATTGATTAACCTTTTATAAAAACTTTTAATCATGACAAAATAAAAATGTAAGTAACATTTGGCACTAATGAAACAGGGAAAAGAACAATTAATAAAACGGAAATATCCGAAGATTTCCGAGTGTTACGAAGTTTTCCGAATGCATGTCAAAATACCGGTTTTCGATCAGCGTATCGCAATATGTATCGTTTTCATGTCTGAACCGGTAAATACCGGTAAACCGGTTACATTGCGCAGTCCTAGTAATGCATGTTGTGTAATACTGTCATATTCAAGCTACATGAAATCATGCCAATCCAGTGATTGATAAGAAGAGCATGTCATCGGTGACCGTTGACACCTCGTCAACGAGTCTGACCTCTCTATCTATTAGGTCACTTCTTGACAACCTGGAGACCAATTCTAGTATCCATAGGTGATAACTAAGAAAGAACTGGGGACATTCTGGCACAGGTTTGCACTCCTTCCAGGAACACGACTCCATTTATCCTGCACAACAGTTTCCTTGTATCTGAGTAAAAAGTCTGTCTCACCTTGCGTCTCCTCGTCTTGATCATGAACTCCCGGGCGAGATGCGTTGCGGGCTGTGGTTCCAGGGGCCTGATGATGATGGACTTGTCCAGGGGGTCACCAGGTACGATCTGAAGACCACCACGACACAGGGTTATTGTCAGGTGTCTTAAATTGTGTAACATTATTAGGGCGTTGTGGTAGCCTAGTGGTTTAAGCGTTCGCTCGTCACGCTGTAAGATCCGGGTTCGATTCCCCACATGTAGCCCATTTCTGGTGTGCCCCTGCCGTGATATTGCTGGAATATTGCTAATAGCGGGGTAAAACCATACTCACTCACTCTATTGCTATTCATGTGGATATCAGTCAATGATAACAAGTATCCTTGGATTCGTTGTACAAAGCAGCATTAGCACTATGGAGGCATAGTTCCATGTTAAGGTGAAACTGGGTTTAACGTCGTGCTTGAGAATATTTCGCTCATATGACGACGTGCATGCGTGTGTATGTGTATGTGCGGCTGCTTGTACTAGCCCAGACTGAAGCTGGTTTTATAGTGCTAGCCCACTGAGATACCATGCCGCAGTGAAGCAGAAATACCCCACTCAGACACATTATACTGACTCCGAGCCGACCAGTCCTTGTTGTACCCATTACTGCCGAGCGCAGACAGGGACCAACAAGTACCATATTTTAACGTCTTTTGGTATGACGCGGTCGGGGATCGAACCCGCGACCTTCCGCTCTCCGGGCGGACGCTCTAACCACTAGACCACGAAGGCGGTCAGTTGCATGTTAAGTTAAGGGACATGTTAAGTTAAGGGAGTTTCGATCAGTTCAGTGCTAACATTGCTTTGTACGTAGACACCCAGGCCTGCTGCCATTCATTACTGTCCTTACTGATCAAAATATTGACAAGACAAAGTGTTTGTAGTTTAACACCGCACGCAAACAATATTCCAGCTATATGGAGTCAGTTTGTAATTAACCAAGTCTGGACCAGACAACCCAGTGATCAACACCATAAGCATTGATGACATGTGTCAACCATGTCAGCAAGCCTGACCACCCGATCCCGTTAGTTGCCTCTTACGACCAGCATGGGTTGCTGAAGACCAATTCTAACCCACATCTTCACAGGTCGACTAGACACAGTGATGCTCCCTAGCTAACAGTCTCCAGTGATGCTTTTCTGTGTCGATTGACCCCAGTGAACCATTAAACCCTCTGTTGATCGCCTCGAATGGACTCACCTGCCAGTGATGGAAGACCGAGAGACAAAACGCCTGGCCCTGTGTGTGTGTTCTCAGATCGGTCTCAAATCCAAATGAGTCGATCGCGGGGGCAGGAAAGCCTTGATCAGTATGTAATTTTTAGATCCAATTGATATTTTATACATCCTGGGTCATGCGTGACCTCTGAAACAGAAATTGTATGAATAATTAGTGATTTTGTATAGATATACTGTAATATTCTCCCCACGGAACTTCTGAAGCCTTTAGGATTTAGGATGTTTCCTGTATAAAGAAACCATAGGTTATATAAAGCCATTAAAGGGAATTACATTATGAATATATTGAACAATACATATAAATTATATATATATATATATAGGTGACTCTGATAGAGGGCACTGAAATTGACTATATTCAAGTATATGCTTTAGGTAGAATACTTAAGCTGAACATATATACATAGCCCTAAAACTCCTTAGAGTTATAAGCTAGATGAGTATGTATAAAATACATATTAATCTTGTGAGGCTAATATTTTAACGCCACGAGGGACTGTCAGTTGCTGGCGAGAGGACCAGTGGTCCTGAAATGGTGGTATGCCAGAGACATCTTCTGTAGTGATGTCTCTTAGGTAGTGATTAGCAAATACCATGTTAGATTTCCAATAGCATCCTTCCATAATCGTGTTCAAGGAACAGTTACCGTGTAGAGGCCGAGGGTAGAGGCCAGTGCCCTGATCTCATGTGGATTTGATGCTGTTGGTGGGTCCAAGCCTGCTGCCTTGTAGGCACGGAGAATGACAGTCCTTATCCAAATAGATATTGTAGGTCCGGTGACACTTGTTTGATTCAGTGGCTTATAATGGGATGAATAAACGTTTGAAAATCTTCTCCTTGTTTTGGATCGTCGTAAATAAACTTTGGCGCTCTTGCGGACACACAGTGATAGGTCTTGTGTATCTTGTGATCCGAGAATAGAGGATAGCCGGGATGTGGAATAATCTGTCTGGTTGACCTGGTAGTTGATTCTTTGCAATGAAATCCCATCTTAATCCGAGGTGCTGCTGTGTTATGATTGTCATCAAACTGTATCCTCTCGTAATCCAGTAGCGTGAATTTCAGACATTCTTGCTGCTGTGGCTAGCGATAGCAGAAACAATGTTTTCTGTGAGAGAAATTCAAAGTTTGTCGATTCCAAAGGGTTCATAGGCCTCACTGCGTGAGGTGTTGTAACACTACATTCAGATCCCAAGCTGGGGCGTGGAACTTCCGCTTTTGGTCCTCCAATCGAAAGCTTCGTAGTAAGGCCAGTAACTCTGGAGATCTTGTCAATTTGACACCGTTCTCATGGTGATTACAGAGCTAAGCTAGCGCAAGATATGTTGATATCGTTGAACCTTTTAAATGTTTGTTTTGGCGTAGGTAACACAAATAGTCTGCCACTTGAGGTTGTGAAGCCTCTCTTGCTGTAAACCCTTTCTTTGTTGCATAATTTTCAAACTGTGCCACTTGTCGCTTACATTACAAGTTCTGAGTTGAGTAGCGTAATGCGCAAGCGTGACTGCTTTTACCGCCCTGGCAGAATATCCTCTCTTGTTTAAAACACATTTGTATACAGTCCATACGCAGTAGTTGGAACATTGCTGGGTTTCCGTGCACTTGTTTGGTGTGAGGATGAATTAACAGGTTTGCGCCGCCACTAAGGTAGCTCCAGTGTTGGTTGACCGATTTCTTGAATTAGTATGGGAAACCGTTCTGGCCGACCAGTAGGGCGACCAAAGTGAGTTGTAGGCTCTGTGTTTGTCTGATTTTCTGTAATACTTGAGGTATTATTGCTGGCGTTGCGGAAGCGCCGCGACGCATTGAGGCCTTCCCATGATAGACTTAGAGCGTCCGTTGCCCGCTTGGGGGTCTGGGACTGGTGACACGAATGTCGGTAGCTGATTGTTGAATCGCTGGCGAATAGGTCTATTAGCTGCTCTAATTGCTTGATTATCTGTGCAAAAATTTCGGTTGATCATCCACTCTGTCGGGTGATGGTAGATGAGGCCGAGAGAAGCGTCTGCTAGTATATTTCTGGCTCGGGAATGTGCACTGCTCTGGCATGTAGATTTAGATCTTGTATTAAATCGAACAGTTGAAAACTTAGGTTCAAAAGGTTCATCGATCTCGTTGAGCCTTGCTTGTTTATGTAGAACATGCACTGTCGAATTGTCTGTATGGATCATTAGGGCGCATTTTGTAGAAATGTGCTCCAATGTAGAATGGCGTTGATTACAGCTTTCATTTCTAGACTGTTTATATGGAGTTTGCATTCTTGCTGATTCCATAACCCTGATATCGTGGTTGTTGGTGATGAGCTCCCCAACCTTGGAGTGACGCTGCGTCTACATACAGATGGGTTTTGTATTCCTGCTCTGCTAAAACATCCCTTCAAGAGACATTCGATTTCTTGGTCCACCATAGTAGATGTGGTCTGAGATGTTTCAGGTAGACTGAATGGTTGTACATCGCAGAGATGTCGTTGATGAGGACCTGTAGGGGACGTAACTGTAATCTGCCTGCCTGACAGTCATGTCTTGGGCTGATGTGAGAAGACCTAGTAGGCTCTGCCATTATCGCAGTGGTAACGGAGAGAGTAGAGCTGGTGGAATGGTCTGTTGTATCTTGAGCCAACGGTCTTCTGGTACCATAATACGGTTGCGATTTGTGATGAATCGAATACCTACAGAGACTGTAGGTCTTGGCGATGGTACTAGGTCCGACTTGCGTAAGTTTACTAACCAACCAACCTAGTTGTGTTAGTAGCTTTATGATGTAATTTAACTGTAGTTTGAGGCAGCAGTGGATCTTGATCTACTTGTATCCCGTCGTCGAGGTAAAACGACTCGTAGTGCCCTTTGACGATGTAGAAATTTGATAATCGGTTTACGTTATCCTCGGAATAGCCAGGGCTGATGATATTCGAATGGGAAGTACTTTCCACTGGTAATGTAGCCCTTCTAGAGTAAATCGTGGAGGTATTTCCTGGAATCGGGATGAATGGGGATGTGCAAGTAGGCATCCTGTAGATCTATGCTGCCCATGTAGTCCATAGGATCGAATCATCTGGCGAATCTGAGGTAAATGTATCATGCTTAAAACTTCGGTGGTTTCGTAGATAGTTCTTGTTGAAAAAAGCTCATGTTGTAGATGATGAGTCTGTATTTCTCGTGGAGTTTTCTTGGGAACTAGGAAAACTGGGGAGTAGAAACCTGGTTCGACGTTTGCTTGGTCTATTACTTCTATGGCCTGTTTGGATAGGGTGATGAGACAGCCTCTTTATCTTTGGTAGTTGTTGGCTTTGTAAATCGAACTTGGGGGTTTGATTGTCAGCGGAGGCTTGTCCTGTAGAGGGATACTGAAATCCGTGGTTGAATAATGTTGGAGACGTAAGGATCTTGCAGTATTCCCCAGTTTTCCCAGTGTAGTTGGAGCGTCCACCCACTTGAGCTGGTTGTACTGGAACGGCTGGGGTGGAAGACTCCAGTCGTTCGAACCTGTGTTTCAAAGCGTCTATAATTGCGGGGAACCTCTGGGTGTCCTGCCTCTTCCTGATCCTCCTCTATAGTTGCCATATGGGCGTGAAAAGAATCTTTACCTCTAGAGCTGGCTATCTTCCTGTCTCTTGCTCTTTGTAGGCCCGTGAACTTAGATCTGCCTGAGTATCTTTGTGAAGTCTGACGAATGGCGCTGGCTAGTGTGTCCATCGATCTAATCATAAGGACTTCCCTGGAATCCTTAGAGACTTCCTTTGGCGACCTTGTCGATTTCTCCGTCAAAGATGGATGTTGCTCCGACCACGGGCTGTATAAAGTGGGGCTGTAAAGTTCTCCCCAATTACAGGAGGCGTAGGAGGCCTTGACGACGAGCTAAGGTCAGTGCTGCTGAAACAGATGTAAGATGATCCATTAAAACTGCTGATCTTTCTTTTGCATAAGTAAGGCAGAATAAATCATTCTATCATCTTCCGCCGTGGAATCGAATCTAGTAATAAGAGTCTCATTGATCGTCCTAGATCTATTTAACCCAAAGAACATAATGTCTCGTCATGGTTTCTATATGAGCCAACTTAGCATCATCCATCTTGTAAATCTTGTTCTTTACATGCGCTGATGATCTTATAGTTCTCATCGATGTCCTGGGCCTTGTAGAAGGAGTCCATGTTATCGTGGAGAACTTCTTGGCTTGAAAGTTGGGTAGATGTGGTATCTGAACTTTAAGTAGCTTTCTGGAAGCTGCATCTAGATTCTGTGGCACTGCCGCAATCGGTCGATCGGGGTAGAGTGATTGCATCTGGATCATCTTCCTTCATCAAATCGTCTGAGCTGTATTGCCACTTTTAGATGGTGATGTGAGATCTAGGTTATTGACCATCCAATACCGTATCTCTGCATCAGAAAATATGATTCCTCCATCATCCTCAAAACCATCATCATTAATAAATTGTAGATGCTCTTCGGGACTGCGTGTAGCTGTCTGTATATCTGATGAGGTTTGTGGCGATCTAGTTGACTTGTCGCGCTCTATGTGGGAGATCTGATGGGTGATCGACCTGGTGATGAACGGAGTGGAGATGCGTCTATGGGATGATCTTCTCGGAGACTTGTGAGGTGAATGTTGATAGCTTCGCCGAAGCTCTTCGGCAGTCCCTCGATGTTCTTCTAGGCGATGAAGATCTGGAATCATATGTCCTTAGCGAATGCCTTAGCGAGAAAGCACTTCATTGCGTCGGTCCGGGGGATCGATGATATGACCTTAGCGAAGGCTTCGTGATGTCTGATGGTCTGAGTCCATATCTAGAGATGAAATCGAAGATGGTGATGATCTCTCCGCCTTAAAGGCCTTCACGAAGAGGCTGTACATCTAGGTCCTTCGTCAAGGTGGTCGCGGGACTTCCTTCAGCGAAGGTGACATCGTCTTGGCTGCTACGTTGATGAGGGGTGCCTCTGGGGTGCTGTCTACGTTGGAGCCTTCGCTGGCTTTCGGACCCTGCTAGCGCAGTTTGTAGTGGTCCTCCATGATGTTCATAATCTGCATCATGTCTTCTGGGATGATCTGTAGCGAAGTCGTCGGGCGTCTTTTCTGATGGGGTTCACATCAATGGCGTCTGGCGTCCGGTGTAGAGGCATCAGGCTGCATGGAGATCTCTGCAGAAGTCACAGTCGCTGACACCGGTCAGCTTCTTCTGCCGTAAGTCGGGGGATGATTATCGGCTGATCATCGTTAGAGGCCCAACTCTGCTGCTGGAACGATCTCGGCTGAGAAAGTTCTTGCTGTCTTCGTAGATTTCCCTTTGGAAGTCTGCGCTGCCCTGGGTGTCCTCAATCTGCGTTGAGGCGGCGATGAGAGCCCTCTTAGACTTAGTCTGCAATGGCGGGATGTCTGGGGAGGCCGGTCGTTTCTTGAGAGTAACGGACTCGCCCCCCACGTTCCTCTGCGCAGGGGTCTCTAGCAGAACACCAGGCGGAGAGGGTCGATCGCTAACAGCTGACTGGAAGGAATATCTGGACTCTCTGCCATGTTTTGCCCTTGTTTTGCGTGATCTATCTGCAGCACGTCTTAAAACGCAAAGATGATATTTATTAAATGCAGAATGAGATAAATTAATGCAGTAACTGCAACGTGAATTAAGCGACACGGCATTAGAACAACTAGGGCATATTACATGTGGATCGGAGGCAGAAAACGTAATCTACAAATCGTACAGATTTTCATGAGCGTAAAGCTAGCTGAACAATCACGAATACACGTGAATAAACAGTAGAAATCGATAATTAATCAATACAAATAGTAAAGGATACTAGCTATACCTCTATAGTAACCTATGAGAGGTAAAACTAAGAGATTATCAAAGGATATGTGTGTAAGGAGACACAAGGCGCTCTCACATCCTGCTCACTGGGCGAAGAAGGAGAGAGTGAAGCACATGGCCAGAGGGTGGCGACACCTTTTCCCGCCAGGGGAGACAAAGGGGAGCAACTCATGGTGAGTACCAATTAGTGATTTTATTTTGAAGGGAGCTTCAAATAAGGAGATACAAGTGTTCCACTATGTTCGCAAGAAGAAGAAGACAAGCAAAAGAGCATGAGTCAGGATAAGGAAAAATATGTAATTTTCTGAATAAAATTGATATTTTATACTTATCCTGACTCATGCTTAATGCTTGTCTCCCTTTTTCTTCCGAATGCTAGTGGAACACTTGAATCCCCTTTTGAAGCTCCCTTAAAAAAAGCGGACGTAAAATCACTCAACAGGAGTCATCTCCCTTCCCCAGGTTTTGGCGGGAAACCGGCGCCACCTGTCACCATGCTCCTCACTCTCTCCTGATTCGCAATAAGCATGAGTCAGGATAAGGAAAAATATGAAACTTTTTATGCCAGCCAAACCCCCAAACTTAGAATTCTGAACACAGAATGTCAAATATAACATGCATGATGTTTGTATAAATGCTTCTTTGTAATGTGTATATTTCCAGTTTAAACAACACGACCTCTCACTGCCTGTGCAGCTTGTGCTGTTTAATCGAGACAAGAATAATTTTACCTTCTCTTTGCTAACACTGTGTAGACCGCAGACACACAGTCAGCCGGCGCCATCACCTCCACGAAGTTGTAGGGCTCCATCATACGTGGGGTGGCCTGATGATCAGAAACACAAGGCAATCATTCTCTATTCTTCTTTTACAATACTGTAGCAAGATTACTTGGTTGCTAGATTAGACATACAGTACTGGTTACGTCAGTGTGATGGATTAAGGGAGTTATTGGTTTAGACAGGGTGATGGATTGTTTGAGGCAGGTTGGATAATGGAGGTATTTGTTTTGACAGGTTGGACAAAGACATACTGGTGACAACAGTTGATGGATTATAGCGACACAGGTAGAGAGAGAGGACTGACTACCCAGATTCTGGTATTGGCAGATGTTGGACAACACATATGTTGAGTTAGAAAGAGGCTGGATTACAGAGATACAGCTACAATGAGTGAGTGAGTGAGTGCTGCACTCAGCAATATTCAAGCTATATGGTGGCGGTCTGTAAATAATCGAGTCTGCACCAGACAATCCAGTGATCAACAGCATGAGATTGGGAACCGATGATATGTGTCAACCAAGCCAGCGAGCCTCAGCACCCATCCTGTTAGTCGACTCTTACGACAAGCATGGGTTACTGAAGATTCATTCTAACACGGACTTTCACGGGTTACTGCTACAGACAGGTTATTACACTAACATTGGTTTAGATAGAAACTGGATTATAAAGATGAAGAGTATTGACTGAGGATGGATTACAGAAATACCAGTTTAGACAGAGGTTGGGTTACAGAGACACTGAGTGTCCTGACCAAGGACTGACCATGAGGAAGGCAGAGTAGGCCACTCTCCTGGCTGTGGGGATGATCTGACCGCCACCTCTGTGTATCGGCTCCCCGGCAATCATGGCATCCAGGATCTTGAACTTCACGTTACGGATTGCTGAAACAACAGAGTCAACATTAACATAAGATCTTGTAGTGCCATGATGTAGGTAATACAGTATCATGAGAAGGGTAATATAGCACCATGACATGGGTAATACAGCATCATGACATGGATAATACAGTACCATGACATGGGTAATATAGCGCCATGACATGGGTAATACAGTACCATGACATGGGTAATACAGTTACATGATATGAGTAATATGGTGCCATGACATGGGTAATACAGTACCACGACAGGGGTAACACAGCGACATGACATGGGTAATACTGCACCATGACATAAATAATACTGCACCACGTCATGGGTAATACGGCATCATGACATGGTTAATATGGCACCATGATGAGTAATACGGCATCATGACATGGGTAATACTGTACCATGACACTTGTAATACTGCACCATGACGGGTAATACAGCACCATGACATGGGTAACACTGCACCATCAAATGTGTAATATGGCACCATGACATGGGTAATACAGTTCCATGACGTGTAATACAGCACCATGAAATGGGATATACTGCACCATGACATGGGTAATATGGCATCATGACATGGGTAATACAGTTCCATGACGTGTAATACAGCACAATGACATGAGTACTACGGCACCATGACACGGGTAATACTGCACCATGACTGCACACCATGACATGGGTAATACTGCACCATGACATGGGCAATACTGCACCATGACATGGATAATACGGCACCATGACATGGGTAATACTGCACCATGACATGGGTAATACTGCACCATATGGGCAATACTGCACCATGACATGGATAATACGGCACCATGACATGGGTAATACTGCACCATGACATGGGTAATACTGCACCATGACATGGGCAATACTGCACCATGACATGGGTAATACGGCACCATGACATGGGTAATACTGCACCATGACATGGGTATTCTGCACCATGACATTGGATAATACAGCACCATGACATGGGTGATACTGCACCAAATGGGCAATACAGCACCATGACATGGGTAATACTGCACCATATGGGCAATACAGCATGGGTAATACAACATCCTGAGATGGGTAATACAGCAACATGTTGTTTGACTGGAGCTGCAACTGGGTATTCAGATCAGATCAGTGAAGACATGTACGTACGTTCATCACATAGTGGCCCTTCTCTGGTTGCCCACTGGAATCCCTGCACGATGCTGTCCTTCACCAAACCCAGAACTGACTTGTCAACCTGAATACATCAAACACATAGCATTAAGTAAGAATAAGGAATGAACTCGTCATGGGTAGGTTTTCTTCTCTAAACTTTCTTCCACAACAATATAACATTTTCTGTATCTTTCAAACGAAACATTAATGCCCTATTCCATTACAGTTCTACATTCTTCACTAGAGTCTAGTAGACTGAATACAAGAACACCAACAACTAGAACACTGTGTTGTGGCAACTACTAGCAATGACGGACTGATCATAGTCATGTGAAAAAGACCTGTTTAAACCTTTTGGTTCTTCTGATTATTCTATATTGTTTTTTATTTCTTCTGAAAGACTACAGCAGATAATAAAAAAGCAGATGAATAAGCATTAACAAAAAATAAGTATGAATCAGCAAAAGTCTCATCTTGTATTTAATAACACTGTCTACCAAGTCAGCATTTAAGCAAACATTCTCCTGCTTCCCAGATATTCTATTCACTGACCTCAGATGGCAGAGTATCGTCCACCAAGATGTTGGGCCCCATGGCGTCAGGTCCGAAGGCCCAGATAGATCGAGCAGCCAGCAAATCCCAGTCATATTTTGTCTGGAAGAACTCTCCCAGTTTCTTCCTGGGCCACGTGATCTGCACAACCTCGTTCTCGATGTCCTCCGCCAACCCCTTCTCCAGGGGCTCAGCAATCATCGTCAACTTATTCCTGGCAAATGTACGCACCATATAGCATTGATTGTTTATAGTTTAACACCACACTCAGCAATATTCCAGCTATATGGGGTCAGTCTGCAAATAATCGAGTCTGGGCCAGACAATCCAGTGATCAACAGCATGAGCATCGATCTAAGCAATTGGGAAACAACGACGTGTCCACCAAGTCAGAGAGCCTGACAACCTAATCCTGTTAGTCGCCTCTTACGATAAGCATGGGTTACTGAAGACTGCTTCTAACCAGGATCTTCACAGGTTTTCCCGAAAGCCATGTAAATTTAACATAACATTTCACTTACAGACCATTTTACATCTTTTATTTGCCACCCTCAGAAATATTCCAGCTAGATGGCAATCAGCTGTTGTCTGGACCAGTGATTGACATCATGAGCATCAATCAACATAGTTTGGACACAATGTCCTTCATGAAGTAAGTGAGGGAGACTGACAGCCCAGAATCCCCCCTGGTTATAATAGAGTATAGCACCACAAAAGATTCTGCTTTGAATTTACATCACTAAAAGCATATCAAGTAACATAATCCTTAGCTAGGCCAGACCAATCTTATTTCTTGTTTTACGGATCCGCCGGTTGTACTTTTTCAAGAATAAGAAAAAAAATAAAAGTTAATTTTCCCTGCTCAAAAAAAATAATCCTAATGTTTTGGGGCTTTTATTGGTCGAAAATGTTAATATACAAGAAAAGGTTTTTTTAGATTGTGTTTTGCCCCATATACACTTTATAAATCGACAAAAGATAGATACTTTTAGCATTTATTTAGTTTTAATTTTTTTTTTCCTCCTGCTTTTAGTTTTTTTGAGTACAAAAATCTGTAAAACAAGAAACAAAATTGGTTTGGCCTTATTGAGATTTCACTGCAACGTTCAATCATGACTTCCACTTGAACAACAGATTTCCACAGTAATCTCAGCATTGATAAAGTTCTAGTTAAAACTAAAAGCATGAAAATATTTACAAAAAGAATTTAAACAGTGATCTCAATGAAAGTAATCTGTGGCTTACTTTTTGTTGGGTGTTTCTGCGAAGCACTTGAGTGAAGATGTTTCCACCACCGTCTCACAGAAGGACACAACTGGGTCAGCCACCTTGATGTCTGCGCGATAAAACAGCTGCTTTGGTGACAACAATCACTACAACTCATTTTGTCAATATGCATTTTCTAAATCGTATAAGCAGTCATATGTTTAAAATCAGTTTCTTTCATAGTGGTTCACCACCATACTCAGCAATAGTCCTGTGACAGTGGAAACCCACCAAACCGGCAGCCCTCCAATCCGGCATGCCCTCAATATCGGCACTAGAATTTGGTCCTAGCAGAAGCTAGTTAATTTATGATAGTTTACACGCCCTCTAATCCGGTGTCAGTCTATTCCGTATTTCGGCACAACAAAGACCGCCCAATTGACCCTTTGTACAGTAGTTAACTCTCTAAATCAGCATTCGGTATCTCGGCTCTCCTGTTAATTGGCTGATTGACTGAACGTGTATTAACAGTTTCGGACTTGAAACTTCGGAGTTATGAATTATGACGTAAATGTTCTGGAAGCTGTACTGAACACCTACATTTGTGTTCTATACTTGTATTTTTGATGTTTTCTTTACTGATGAATAAAGAATAAGATGACTATCAACACGTTGTTCAGTCGTATTTTACGGCACACAGAAGATCATTCTCAGGTTGAAAAGGGAAAAGTTATCTAAACCGTCACGCCCTCTATAGGGGAATTTTTTGCCGGTCCCAACGCATGCCGGTTTAGAGAGCTTCAACTGTATATGAAAGGAGTTTGTAAATAATATTGTTGGGACAAGAAAATCCAGCCTGAGGAATAATGTGCATTGATCTACTGACTGACTGACTGAGTTTAGTTTTACGCCGCTTTTAGCAATATTCCAGCAATATCACGGCGGGGGACACCAGAAATGGGCTTAACACATTGTGCCCATGTGGGAAATCGAACCCGAGTCTTTGGCGTGCCGAGCCAACGCTTTAACCACTGGGCTACCCCACCGCCCCGCATTGATCTACAAGACTGGGATACACTGACAAGACACAAGCAGGTCTGACCATCTCACAGCTACAGATAACTTTTCGGGTTATTGAGTTATGTACTCACTTGTGTTTATCTCAATTGGGTATCCTTATTTTCCTTTGAGGAACCAAATAGATTGAACTCACATCACTCAAACTCAATTGGGTATTTTATAAATATAATAAAGTTTGAATGTTAGTGTTTGTTATTTATATTTGATCTGTAATATGAGAAAGTATAAGGACTTTCATGTCCTGAAATAGAACCTCTCAATATACCTGTTATTTTATCTATACACTGGTATGCAAGATAAGATTTGATATTTTTGTGTATACGCATGTAAGATCACATTTATTGAGTATTTACAAAAATTGAAGCGAAGTTGTACTCAATAGACTTAATAGGACTTGAGTTTTCACATAAATATTTGCGTAATTTACGCAGATATGCAGCTTATCTGTACCTCTGCCATCTTATCCCATTATGACAAGCATGAGCTGCTGAAGGCTAATTCTGACCCAAGCCGCATCAAATGTGACGTACTGACCTATCTCGGAGTACATCTTGCGGAGGTCGTGCATGACACAGTCCAGGTACAGCTCTCCAGTCCCCAGGATGATGTGCTCGCCCGACTCCTCAACCTGGTACACAAAGTATTCACTGTAAAACCTGACATGACTGTTTAATTCCTGAACAATGAGCATGATATAACACCGCTTTTAACAATACTCAATGCATGGCAAGGGACTTACAACATGTTGTTTGTGTGTGTCTCTGCATGTGAATGAGCGTGTGTGCGTGCAAAATGCAAGATTAAAGCTGCTTCCACAATATTCCACCAAAATGGCTGTTGCATGTAAAAAATTGACCTGACAATCCACAGTGTGACTTTTCAATCCGACACAAAAAGATCTGAGTAGCAACAGTACTCTTCAATGTTGTCATGTTTTTTATATATGTCAGCAATAGTACATTACTCCACATATAGTCCATTTTAATGGGTCACTTGAGGTACAACAACTTGCAATCATACAGTTTTAACAGAGGAACAGACAGAAGAAGTACTGGCTTACTTTCGTGGTCAGGAGGGGATAACTCTTGTTGACCTTTCTCAGCCCGTCCAACATTTTAGGCAGTTCAGACGGATTCACTGGTTCCACTGCGATCTTGATCACAGAGCTTGTGTTGAACTTGAGAGGACGGAATATATACACCTACAAGACAACAGAGAATTGAAGGGTGGAAAATCTAACCAGGGTTTTCTTCTAGTTGCTAAGCCTGGCACAGCTATTTTTACTGGGGAATAGAAAACTAAAGCAGATGGAAATCTAACTAGGGTCTTCTTCTAGTTGCTAAGCCTGACAGCTACATTTGCTGGGGAATAGAAAACTAAAGCAGATGGAAATCTAACTAGGGTCTTCTTCTAGTTGCTAAGCCTGACACAGCTATTTTTACTGGGGAATAGAAAACTAAAGCAGATGGAAATCTAACTAGGGTCTTCTTCTAGTTGCTAAGCCTGACACAGCTATTTTTACTGGGGAATAGAAAACTAAAGCAGATGGAAATCTAACAAGGGTTTTCTTCTAGTTGCTAAGCCTGACACAGCTACATTTACTGGGGAATAGAAAACTAAAGCAGATGGAAGTCTAACCAGGGTCTTCTTCTAGTTGCTAAGCCTGACACAGCTACATTCGCTGCGGAATAGAAAACTGAAGCAGACTTAAATCTAACCAGGGTCTTCTGCTAGTTTCTAAGAATGACACAACCACATTTGCTGCGGACAAGTGAAAATCGAAAAAGGGTAGCCATTGACTAAAGCAAAAATTCTGAAGCAGTTCTAAATGCTTCAATTTAACTGCAAATTGGAACAGAATAAATTAACAGAAAATGTCATTACAGAAAAAACTGTTTCCATTCAAGCAGGATTAGCTACAAACTATGAGAACTAGAATATGGATGACTTGATTGATTGTTGTTGCTTAACGCCACACTCAGCAATATTCCAGTTATATGGTGGCGGTCTGTAAATAATCGAGTCTGGATCAGACAATCCAGTGATCAACAGCATGAACATCGATCCACGCAATTGGGACACGATGACATGTGTCAGCCAAGTCAGCGAGTCTGACCACCCGATCCTCTTAGTCGCCGCTTACGACAAGCATGGGCTACTGAAGATCAATTCTAACCCGGATCTTCACGGGTCAAATATGGATGACACCAGTCCTGGCCTGGAGTTGTATAACACAAATTTCTGTTGCTGGGTCTCCATACCTCCTCGTTGCTGGAAGTGTCTGTGATGGTGGAGGTCTTAACTATGGGCTGGTCGATGCCTTCTATCAACACCCAGTTCCCTGCAGGGACTCGGTTCACCTCCACCTTATACCTGCAACACACACACAGCATAATATTTACTATTATATAGTATTAACGAGGATGTTTTGTATGACGTTTTATACAATGTATTATGACAACAAATTGATGACATGGATGTTGTGTATGATGTTGTGTATGATGTTTTGTACAATGCATTATGACAACAAATTGATGACGAGGATGTTGTGTATGATGTTTTGTACAATGCATTATGACAACAAATTGATGACGAGGATGTTGTGTATGATGTTGTGTATGATGTTTTGTACAATGCATTATGACAACAAATTGATGACGAGGATGTTGTGAACGATGTTTTGTACAATGTATTATGACAACAACAAATGTATTTTGGGAAATACAAATACAAAAAAAAAAAAATAAATAAATAAATAAATAAATAAATAAATAAATAAATAAATAAATAAATAAATAAATAAATAAATAAATAAACATAAATAAATATAAATAAATAAATAAATAAATAAATAAATAAATAAAAAGAAACTAAATAAAATAAATAAATTAATATTTACTATTGTAGCAGGAAGCTTGTAAATGTTAACATCTTTAAACAGGCTGTAAGTAATGATACTATCTTACATAAGGAATAGCAGCTGGTGGGTGTTGTTTAGCATACTATAACAAATTTCAAGGAAATAGTGAGGGAGTTTGGTTTTACGCTAGAAATTGGCTTCACACATTATACCCATGTGGGGAATCGAACATGGGTCTCAGTCGTGACGAGCGAAGACTTTAACCACTAGGCTACCCCACCGGCCCTTCAAGGAAATAAACCACCTGCATATGCATTTAGAGTCTACCCTGATTATAATGCCTTGTTATTATTTGTCCAGGTAGATTTATTGTGGTTTTAACCAGTGATTGGTTGGTTGGTTTGTTGTTTAACACCCCACACAGCAATATTCCAGCTTTATGATGGATTTAACCCGGATCTTCACGGGTTGCACATGGGAAGCAAAAACCAGGCAATTAATACCGAGTTTCACCACCTGATATATGGAGGTGTAACAGCAAGACTACATTCCTTAAAACTAGTTCCAACCTGGAAGTCCTGATCTGAAGTCACCTCACCTTGCTTCTGCAATCCAAAGACGTCCGACCTGCCCGAAACGCGAGTCCTCCTCGTCTTGCAGCGTGTAGTTCTCGCCAAGAATCCTCACTTCCTGGTTGGAGTAGAGTGTTCCACTCAACACTCGACCAAACACGTGGAAGCTCGTCCCATCTGACGTGGGGAACAGTTTTGTGGTGTGGATCATCAGTGGGCCCTGGGGAGTAGATACATGTTACTGACTGACTGACTGGGTGTGGTTTCACACCACTTTTAGCAATATTCAAGCAATATCACGGAGGAAGGACACCAGAAATGGGCTTCACACATTGTACCCATGTGGGGAATCGAACCCGGGTCTTCAACATGAGGAGCAGACGCTTTAACCGCTAGGCTACCCCACACGTTACTGACACACTGTGATAAAATGCATGACAGATATAGTACTCGATACACAGTAGGGGTCAAATGGTACACTGATACATTGTTAATTTTCACGCAGCAATACAATATCCCAACACGAGCTGAATTCGACGTTCTGGTGATTTCGAGGATTGCATTGCTTGCGCTATATCGGGTGGGTATGTGTGCGATCGGAGTGCACAAACAGTTTCACTGGTAGGGTGGGTGCCCAGTCGCTGTCGCAACCATTTTATTGACAAAGCAAATCGGGAAATAAAGTTATATAAAAAGCAAACAAACATCAATATTCTTTACCCGAGATCGTTAATACCACTTCAGATACAAAATCAGTTGCCTTTATAACAAAAAATAGCAAGCAAAAATTCAGTAAGATCAGTCGTCTACTGGTGACAGGCAATATATAAATAGGAAGCCGCATGATCACAACACTCCCTCGCAGTGCGGAGCAAAAAGTATGGCTCATCGACAAAAACCCATACAAAATACCCGGATGTTACGAGCGGCCACTGTTTCGCCGATACGATGTCGTCAACGCTATTTTTTTAGGAAACACTTGATATTTTTGTGTGAAATAGATGAATATATCCTTTATCACTTGAGGTTAGTAAAATAAAAACTTTAAATGATATTACAGACAAAATTACGTTTTTGTCTTACATCGTCGAAAACCCCTGACACCGGGATACATGATACATTTTTTTCCTGTACCAATAAAAGCCGACACATTTGCTAAAATACATGTGATGACATTTCTATCCCACACTGCGTCAGTCAAATATGGCAAAATGATGTGGAACTTGTGTTTCAAGTCTACTACTAAAACAGCTATAGTTTCCTGTTCTGAAATGTTCAGTCAACAAGTAGGAGCAGAAATAAACACAGCAGGGCGATAACTTGCAACATGATACCTAAGGTGCTACATTAAGTACGAGTTAGGTGAGTGTCAAATGGCATGTTAGAAGGGTGAGTGAGTGAGGCTGATTGACTGAGTTTGGTTTTACGCCGCTTTTAGCAATACTCCAGCAACATTACGGCGGGGGACACCAGAAATGGGCTTCACACATTGTACCCATGTGGGAATTCGAACCCGGGTCTTCGGCGTGACGGGAGTGAGTGATAGTGCGTGAGAGTGAGTGAGTGAGTATGACTGAGTTTGGTTTTACGCCGCTTTTAGCAATATTCAAGCAATATCACGGTGTGGGACATCAGAAATGGGTTCACACATTGTACCCATGTGGGGATTCGAACCCAGGTCTTCAGCGTGACGAGCGAACGCTTTAACCACTAGGCTACCCCATTGCCCCATGTTAGAAGGGGCCAGCTAATTAATATTACTGGGCTTTGTAATTGGGAGGGACCCGATATACCAAACCTATTGCTGCATTATCCCTGGAGTTAAAAGTACACTGAAGTACAATTTGCTTACATCTGGGTCACAGTGCGACATTTCCTCCGCCAGCTCCGAGTCTGATGGGCCGGTGTAGATGTGTTCGATTTTACTTTTTGCATTCTGGACTGGTGAGCTGAGGTGCTCCACACACATGTCCACAAAACCTGGAACAAACACTGACAGGTAAATGGCTACTTCTGATTTAGACTAACGACTTTATAAGCTGCTATGGAATTCCTACCAATTCCTACCCACTGTCCATTTTAAATTCCCACTACTATGAAAGCAGTGCCTAGTACATCTATGCATCTTTACTTAGTCCGTTCAAACAAGTATCTTGCACATCATGTATTCTGCTTCTGTTGGGCGAAACAAGTATCTATTACATCGTCCCAATATAGTCCATTTTCTTGTTAATTTTTTAAATAAACAACATAATTAACATTGGAATATCAACTGGACACCGGTACAGTGTGATATACAAATTTGCTTGCCCGACAGAAAAAAAACACTGGACTCGGGCGTCGGGCAATGGGTTATTTCCACCCCTGATTCTGTACCTGTGAAGTCCCCGAAGAACCGGCGTCCGATGAGCCTCATCAGAGGTTTGATGTTGAGTTTCTGCTCTTCTTTAGTGAGGTGGATTCCAAGCTCATCACACACTCGCGGCAGACACTCATCAACGTCCCCGACAATCTGTCCACAAAAAACACATATCCATGGGAACTGGTAAACAATAACATCACTACATAAAGTAAACTGTCTTTGTAATGAGTGAGTTGTGTTGAACAGGGAAAAAAGCATATTGTGTTATCAACGTCTGGAATTGTCAACCATGGGTTTTATTTTACTAAATTGAATTTGGACAATCGTGTACATTTATGCAGATGTAAAATCAGTTCATCAAAGCACAAAATTTCAGAGTAAACTGTAATTAAAATTACACAATGCTAGGATATATTTCTTTGGGTTAAATATGTAATTTTCTGAGTAAAATTGATATTTTATACTTATCCTGACTCATGCTCTTTTGCTTGTCCCCTTCCTCTTGCGAACATAGTGGAACACTTGTATCTCCTTAATTGAAGCTCCCTTCAATGTAAAATCACTAATTGGTACTCACCCACGAGTTACCTCCCCTGCCGTAAGCGCGGGAACAGGTGTCGCCACCCTCTGGCCTCATGCTTCACTCTCTCCTGATTTTTGCGGGCCCAACACTTGAATTTACAGGAAATCCAAAGTGTTATGTGGGGAGGATGGGAGGGAGCTAACCTCATGAGTCAGGATAAGTATAAAATATCAATTTTACTCAGAAAATTTACATATTTTTCCTTATCCTGACTCATGCTCTTTGCTTGTAGAATCCACCGGAGAGGTGGTGGGTAAACAGAATACTTTGGATTAATTAGTGATTTAAGTAAGTGATATTGTAATAACCCCTCGCGGGAACTTCATAAGGCATTGAGACTTAGGATATTTCCTTATAATAAGCCATAGATATATACACTATAAGTGGGGTATTACCTTACTAATATACTGATATATCAATATATATATATAAACTGCTACTCTAACGTAGCTGTACACTGAATATAACTCAGTATGAGCTTAAGGTTGAATAACCTAAGCTAAATATGTACATAGCCCTAGAACTCCATGGAGTTATAAGCTAGTGAATATATGTATCATATATCTAATAATCTCGTGGGGTGAATATTAACTACCACGCAGGACTGTCAATTGCTGAGCCGAGGACCAAAGGACCGAAAATGATGAATGCCAGAGACGCCCCTCGGTGGTGATATCTCTGAGATAGTGATTAGCAAACACCATGTTAGATTTCCAAAAGCATCCTTCCATAATTGTATTCAATGAACAGTTACCATGAAGGGCGCAGGGTGGATGCCAATGCCCTGATTTCATGAGGATTTGATGCTGTTGGAGGGTCCAGTCCTGCTGCCTTATAGGCCAGAAATGACAGTTCTTATCCATATTGATATGGTGGTACGAGAGACTTCTGTCTGATTTGTAGGCGATAACGGATGAACAATCTTCTGAGCGATCTTCACTTTGTTTTGGAAAACGACGAAATAGATTATGAGAGCTCGTGACTCGGGCATAGAGATAAGTCCAATGTATCTTGAGATCCAAGAATTGAGGATAAGCGCAGGGATGTGAAATAACCTGTCTGGTTGACCTGGTAGTTGATTTTTAGCGATGAAATCCCATCTTAATCCCAGGTGCTGTCTTTTGATTTTCATCAAACTGTATCCTCTCATAATCTAGAGCATGAATTTCAGATATTCTGGCTGCCGTGGCTAGCGATAACAGGAAGACTGTTTTCTGTGAGAGAAATTCAAACGCTAGTCGATTCCAATGGTTCAGTAATCCTCACTTGTGAGGTGTCGTGAAAAACTACATTCAGATCCCAAGCTGGGCGCGGAATTTCCGCTTTTGGTCCTCCAATCGGAAAGCACGTAGTAAGGCCAGTAACTCTGGTGTTCTTGTTAATTTAACACCCGCTCTCATAGAAATCACAGAACTAAGCTGCAAGATATGTTGACAATGTCGAGCCTTTTAAATGTTTGTTTTGCCGTAAGTAACACAAATAGTTCGCCACTTGAGGATGCTGCGAGCATCTCCTCGCTGTAAAACCCTTGTTTGTTGCATAATTTTCAAACTTTGCCACTTGTCATCGCACAAGTTACGCGCTGAGTATCGTAGGCGCGCGACCGCTTTTGTCGCCTCTGGTAGAATATCCCTCTTGTTTAAAACACATTTTAATACAGTCCATACGTGAAGTTTGAATACTTCTGGGTTTCTGTGCACCTGTTTGGTGTGAGGATGTATTAACAGGTTTGCCGCTTGGGTAGTTCTAGTGCCGGTTGACCGATATCTTGTATTAAGGCGGAAATCACGCTTCTGGCCGGCCAATAGGGCGCTGACCAAAGTGAGTTGTAGGCTCTGCATGCTTGGTTGATTTTCTGTAATACTAGAGGTGATTATTGCTGGGGCGGAAACGCTGCGACGCATTTCGAGGCCTTCCCATGAAATGCTTAGAGCGCCTGTTGCCCATGCTTGTGGGTCTGGCACTGGTGACACGAGATAATGTCGTAGTTGATTGTTGAACCTTGTATGCAATAGATCTACTAGCGCGCTTCCTATTTGCTTGATTATCTGTGCAAATATCTCTGTATTGAGCATCCATTCTGTCGGGCGACGGTAGATGTGGCCGAGAGAGAGCGCGCCTGCTAGTATATTCCTGGTTCGAATGTGGCATGCTTTGACATGTAGATTTAGATCTTGGATTAATTCAACAGTTGAAAGGTTAAATTCAAAAGGTTCGGGCGATCTCGCTTGGAGCCTTGTCTGTTCACATAAAACGCCACTGTCGAAGTTGTCGGTATGTATCATCAGGTGCGATTCTGTAGAATGTTGCTCCAATGTCTTATGGCGCTTGATTACAGCTTTCATCTCTAATGCGTTTATGTGGAGTTTGCTTTCTAGCTGAGTCCATAACTCTGATACCGTCCCGTTGGAGAGATGAGCTCCCAACCTTGGAGCTGACGCTGCCTACATATAGATGGGTCTTGAATTCCTGCTCTGCTAAACAAATCCCTTCGCAGACATTCGATTTCTTTGTCCACCATAATAGATGAGGTCTGAGATGTATCGGTAGACTGAATGGTTGTAGGTCAGCCGAGATGTGTATTTGACGAAGACCTGTAACGGACGTAACTGTAATCTGCCTATGACTGTCAAGTCTTGGGCTGATGTTAGAAGACCTAGTAAGCTCTGCCATTGTCGGTGGTAGCGGTGACAGTAGAGCTGGTGGAATGATCTGTTGGATCTTGAGCCAACGGTCTTCTGGTACGACTATACGGTTGAGATTGGTGATAAATCGGATTCCTAGGGAATTGCAGATCTTCGCGATGGTACTAGGTCCGGACTTGTGTAAGTTTACTAACCATCCCAGCTGTGTTAGTAGCTTTATGATGTAGTTTAACTGTAGTTTGAGATGCTGTGGATCTTGATCTACTTGTATCCCGTCAGTCGAGGAAGAACGCGACTGGCGTGAGTCCCTTGACGATGTAGATAGATAACAATCGGTTTCGCTATCCCTCGTGAATAACCATGGGGCTGATGCTATTCAATGGGAGTACTTTCCACTGGTAATGTAACCCGCCTAGCGTAAACCGAAGGTATTTCCTGGATTCGGATGTATTGGGATGTGCAGATAAGCATCTTGTAGATCTATACTGCCCATGTAGTCCATGGGGCTTAATCATCTGCCAGCTGGCGTAGATGTATCATAGTGAACCTGGGTGGTTTGTTTAAGTAAGTCTTGTTGAAGAAGCTCATGTTGTAAATGAGTCTGTATTTCTCCTTGGAGTTCTTCTTGGGTACTAGGAAAACTGGGGAGTAGAAACCTGGTTCGATGTTTCCTTGCTCTATTACTTCTATGGCCTGCTTGGTTAGGAGTAATGTAACCAGCCTCTTTAACTTTAGTAGTTGTTGTGCCTCTACCCTAACTTGTGAGGGTTGACTGTTAGTGGAGGCTTGGCCTGTAGTGGGATAAATGAACTGCTGCTGAAGAATGTTGGAGACATAGGTGTCTTGAAGTATTCCCCAGTTTTCCCAGTGTAGTTGAAGACGCCCACCCACTTGTGACGGTTGTACTGGAACGGCTGGGGTGGAAGACTCCAGTCGTTCAACCTGTCTTTCAGCTGCTTATAGTTGCGGAACCTCTGGGTGTCCTGCCTCGCCCTGACCCTCCTCTATAGTTGCCATATGGGCTTAATTTAAAAGAATCTCTTCCCCTGAACTGGCAATCTTCCTGTCTCTAGCTCTTTGTAGGCCCGTGAATTTAGATCTCCCTGAGTATCTTTGTGAAGTCTGTCGAATGACACTGGCTAGCTGTCCATCGATTTAATCATCAGGACTTCTCTAGAATCCTTGGTGACTTCTTTGGAGACTGTGTCTATTCCTCCGTCAAATATGGATGGGGAAGACCACGGGCTGTATATAGTGGAGCTGTAAAGTTCTCACCCCAGTTGCAGGAAGCTAGGAGGCCTTGACGACGCAGCTAAGGTCAGTGCTGCTGAGACAGACGCCAGATGATCTGTTAAAACTGCTGGTCCTTCTTTGCATCAGTAGGGCCGAAAATCATTCTGTCATCTTCAGAGGTCGTGTTCAAATCTGGAGATAAGTGTCTCATTTATTGTTCTAGATCTATTTAGACCGAAGAACATACTGGCCATGGTTTCTATCTGAACCAATTTCCGCATCATCAATCTTGTAGTACTTGTTCTTGGCATCGGAGATCAGCTTATAGTTCTCATCGATGTCTTGGCGCTTTGAAGAAGGGTTCCATATTATGCGGAGAACTTCTTGGCGCTTGAAATTTGGCAGATGTGGCGCCTGAACCTTTGTGGCTTTGTTAAATGCTGTATCTAGGTTCTGAGGTACCGCCGCAATCGGTCGATTGGGGGTAGTGTAATAGCATCTGCGCTATCTTCTTTCATCAGATAAGTCTGCTTCTATTGCCACTTTGGAAGGTGATGAGAGATCTAGATTATTGACCATCCAATATCTTATCTCTGCATCTGAGAAAATAATTCCTCCATCATCTTCCATTCCATCATCATAGATAAGAGGTTGTTGCTCTTCTGATGTAGGGCTGTGTGGCTCTATCT